CCAGACGCAAGTCTTGTAACTTGATATCATAAAAAACTGTATGACTGAGTACGTTCAACTCAAGACATGCCTGCTGACTTGCTAACCAAAGGCCTCATGTCAAGTAAACATTATAAGCTCTTGACGATTATAGGTCTAACTTCAAAATAAAAATCTATATAGATTTATATGTAAATCTATGTATGATTATTATTTTATCATGGTTGTAAGGGGTTTTATAACGTTTTGTTAAGTGGAGTGTTAATTTTTTTTGTATGGTAACTATTATAACTCTATGACAAAACTCTATTGTAACTTTATGATTAACGCCATGTTAATAGTTTAATAAAGTAGTCGTAATCCGAGTCATTGCACTTTTAATAGTTAGTAGTGACGTGCAATATCTTAGTCATATCGACCCCGGAAAAGTAAAAAGTGTAACGTGCATTTGGGAAATATTACAGGCGAGCGATTGAAAGTAATTAAAACAAAAATATACCTCTAATTTTATTACATTGAAAACTAGAACGTTTCAGCTTTACTTTATTTAAAGTCATCTATTTATAGAACTTCGTGAATACACGAAGTTGGAGCTTCATTTTCTAAAACGCGATTAGGTATTCTTGTTAAAGTGCAGATTCACGGAAGACTGGGTGAAATCTCGCTATGTTCGCAACTTTACGTAACACAGCTGGCGAAAACTGTTGACATCATCCACAACCAGTAGATTTCCTCCAGTTAGCTTCGTAAATATTCGTATATTTACGAGTATCGTTACTCGTACAATATTTAAAGAAGTTTTAAAAGTCATGGTTAATATACATAAATATTCGCTTATTTAAAGTTTGCTGATGAATACACATAAATCGAGGACAATTTAGTTTGAATATATTTTAAATTATAATTGTTACTAAGCTAATAAAAATTCAACTGTACTTATAGATCAAAATTTATAGGTACCATCTAGAAAGTTACATAGACTTATTTCGCCAATTTCCTGTTAAATATTATATGTCCAAAACAAAACGAGCTCAAAAATGCCTTAATTTTCATACACCAATGAAAAGCCTAACTGTATAACCATTTTCACGTCTAGATATTTCCTCTAGATTTTGAAAACTCATGAGTATAATCAAAGTAAATCTGCTTTACTAATAAACATTGAATTACGCGCCCGCCGCGTGGCATGGGACACTCATTTTAATGCAAGAGCAGGGAAACCCTACTAATGTAATATTATACTGAACAAAAGCAAGATCTTGTTTAATGGAATAATGTAACTTGTTTCCATCTGAACTTTTAAATTACAATTATTGCAGCAACAAGCACACTTCAACAACAGGCACACACACACACACGAATTCGCTAAAAAAGAAGCTTTGTATAGCCTCTGGTGATTTCAATAATTAAAGCAACAATTTAAGGTAATGATTTTAATCAAGTTGTGATTGATCCCATCAATTATCTTGATTAAAGTCTGGTTCTCTTGTGAATATCATAAGCGTGTATTAGACAGCTGACGTGTGATTTAATCTAGAACAATATGCCCAGCGCAGCGTACAATATCGACATGCTGTGGCGTAGCAGCGCGTACGCACCAAGGCTGTCCGCTCGATACTACTTTCGCTTAACACCTGTGACAGTGCTAAAATGTTGCGTTCTATTCAATATTAATACTGAATGACATGAAATCGAATCTAAAATGTATTGCGGCAGTGTTAAAAAGAATAGATAATTGTGTCAACACTCCTCACGCTATTGGTTATATTAGTCTGTTACCTGTTATGTTTAAGAGATGTAAGGTATAATAATTCTATAACTCGCATATTTGATCTCTTTTTCAATATTTTTGTATATTTGTTAGTATTATTGACGATTTCAATATCTCTTTCTAAAGATTTTTTAGTGTTATTTTAAACTCTAGAAATGAACTGTATTTAAACTAAAGCGCCATTTTATGTGCGGCACACTAACCGCAGATTAGTCTTAACCAGTTTTTTAACCACTACAATAGCAACAAGGTCACAGAAAGTGTTTCAAAATTATTTCTGTGCTTGCATTCGTGTCATATTGGTTTCGCTCGAATTTAATTTTGTATCACAGTTACATCCAACTAAATATCTTATTCGGTGAAAATTTTTTAGTACAAATATAGATTTTTTTATTAAATCGATAGTTAATATGAAGGTTACTGGACGACGAATTATTTTCATGAACTTTTAGTCTGTTATTTTTACGTATTATACATTCTTTTTATGATACCAAGTGTTCGTCTAAGGTAGTACTGGCACCTTGCCTATTTCTACCGCCAAGCAGTAATGTCAGCCTTACTGTGTTCCGGTTTTGAAGGGTAAGGGTGCTGGTGAAATTACACATAGAACTTGTCAACTTATGTCTCAGGGTCACAGGCGCAGTGGTAGTGCCCCTCAACTCTTTGCAATTTAAAGCTCTGAGTGGCAGTGTAACTGTTATGGACAGGCGTGTAGATTACTATCATTCACACAACTTGTTCGCCCCGCCAAAAAAAGCAAATACAGTAGTGCTCGTAAATAGTCATCAAAAAGCAGATTACCCTCTTATTACCACACGTCGTAATACGATTTCCTGCACAGATGGCGGTCAGTGAAGTAGCAACCTCTTTCCAAATCACTTTTACATTTTGTTAAACGCCGAGTCATTCCACGAGAGAGTAAAATACGATGTAAACAAAAGAGATATTACGTGACAGAGATCGTTATTTTAGTACGTTTCAAACAAAAGAAACAAAAAATGCATTATTACATTCATGTTTTACCAAGGTATAGATGGTTTTTTCTAGCTATATTGCGCTTTGTTTGAAAGAAAGTGTACATGTTGAATGTGTGCGTTATTATTATTATTTTGTTAAATATCATGACTTCCACATCATGATAGCCTAATAATTCTTAAACATCCGTGGGTAAAAATCCGTGGGTTTTTCGGAATTTATGTGCGAGATTTAATTTGAAGTTTAGTTTATGAAGTTGCAGTCACTTTTCGGTGAAGGAAAATATCGTGATGAAACCAGCTTGTCGATGAAAGTTTACAACCCTCGCAAAACGTGTAAAGTTCCCAACCCGCATTGGGTCAGCGTGGCGGGCTATGACCTAAACCCTACCAGTGCCGTGATGGTGGTGATGAATATCATTATGTTCTAATTATTAATGCAAATATCGAACACAAACAAAAACTCTTGTTTTTGTTTTTTTATAGCCCCACACTAGGGAAACACAAATTACACCCAAAGTCATGAGTGAAATAAATCTAGGCCATATAAATATATTTCCTGCCCCGGGAATCAAATCCGGTACCTCTGCGTGGTAGACCAGTATGCTAAATAGATTGCCACAGAGGCAGTCTTAAATTGCTAAAGAAAAAGTGAAGTAACTATATTTCTTGTTTTACTTTGAACAACAATGCGATAATGCAGGAGAGAGTAATACTATACTATTACAAACTTAATTATCATGACGGTTAATTATAACCGTTATTAGCGATGTCAAGATAGGTGCGCACTGACAACACTAATTGATGACTTTGTTCCGTGGTTACAGTAATGCCCAATGCATTCGTGGAGAAAATAATACACCTATTACACAAGTATTATCTTTAAAAAACACCCCACCCATTTATTTACGTGAATTCTCGAATCAACGATAAAAATATAAAATAAAATTATCTGCATCCTCAATTAAAAAATTATAAGTCGGATATAAGTTTCAATTAAAAGATAATACGTAAATAATAATAACTAAACAGTGTAGTAAACGAACCTAAGGTTGGCCAACCGTCACGGCTCATGTGTTCGCCCAACCACGCGTGGTTGAATGCGCAACCTTGCATTAAACTGGGTTAGGTTGACAACCCTTCATTTCGCGGTTTCTATCAAGGTATATTACTTATCAAACAATTAGTAATAAAAATGTCTTTCTGTTCTTACTTTCTGCCCCTCTCTTTTTTAATTATAATTCATTTATTTGTTAAAGCATAAGTTTGCATGGAAATTGACATGTACAAAATACCGACCAAACTTTAGGTTTACAAACATATTGAAGGTATACTCGTAACATCGAGTATATAACCATAAATAGAGACGAAATAAGGGCTATCCACCTGTGGCAACTCATCAGGCAAATAGACCTTATATCACTTTCAGTATCAACCATCGTTTGCACAGAAATCACAAATTAGAAAGCTGAAATAGAACAGCGCCAACAACTGACGTGTGTACGTCTCCGTATATTCCAAAAATATCTGTATTTATTGTAATAAGGATAATATCTCTAACTATGGGATAATATATATAACTAACTGTTCCATTCGTTGGTGTAGGAAAAACAGCAAAACGTCTAATTATAAAACAAACGGAATTAAATTTCTACGGTAATTAAATATTAAATATGTGATTTTGCAATTTTCGTCCATTACAGCAAAGCTCAAGTTAACTGGTCGATTTAAAGAGAAACAATTTACGATACCCGCCAATTGTTTCGAATTTAGGCCGGCCAATAGGAGCGCAGTTGTCACCGCAACAATAGTTTTCAAAGAAATTAAATTAAATTTCGTCTCTATTTCTGGTTATATACTCGATGACTCGTAGTTTATACTTTTATTATACATTTGCTCATATGCACTTCAAGAGACAAAATCAGGTGTAACGTTTATTTTTTAAATACTATCACATAAAATAGTGCACACGTGAATTTAATAAGTCAGTCATTAATTTAAACGTGATGGTACTTATCTGGGTCAATTTTAATGATGCCTAATAATTTTAATATCAAAGTAATAAAAATAATAACGTCAAAAGGAATATACAAATGTCAATAATTAGAATGAAATTAGGGATACCACTTAAAATTTCGAGCACTGTCATTGGCACTGTGTAATAAATTTTATTGGTTAATAAGTCGTTTAATTGTTTTTAAAGAACTTTAGGTTTTCTCAGAGCCCTTGTGAAAATCTGACACTTTTGTATTAATATGTCTTTATTTTTTTTACAGCGAAAGCAGGGATCCTACTAGAGCACGCACCAGCATGCCCTGAGCAATATGGAGTTCAAGTATGTACCACCTACTTCAAACATAGTGGTATAACATATATTTCAAAACAGTCCTTTGTATAAACGCACGACGCAAACGGCGACTGCGACAGTCCACCTTATTAACAATTCCGTAAGAAATATTTTCTATAAGTCTCCACGCAGTTCAATAAAATCTTGCTAATTTGAAAAAAGAATTTTTATTAATATAATATAACACCTATATCGTATCATTTTCATATCGTTTACAGTCGTACGCGCATCCGGAGCTCTGCGATCAGTTCTTCCTGTGCACGAACGGCACTTTGACCGTCGAGACCTGTGAGAATGGACTGCTGTTCGACGGCAAAGGTGCCGTACACAACCATTGCAACTACCACTGGGCTGTTAATTGCGGAGACAGGAAGGCTGACCGTGAGTTTTCTTCTCTTTTTACAGATGTCCTTTTTAATTTCACTAAACCATATTTTAGGAGTTCAAACAGTCATTGACCCAGAACTATCCTCATTCCTTTTTAAGTGATTTTCTTAAAAAATTAGACCCATCGGTTCTACAGGTTACCATCTCCACGGACTGTGATTTAATGTTTGCATTATCTTTGAATGTGAAACTTGTAGATGAAAGTAGGTAATTATTTACTTGAATTTACTTCAGTGGGCCATAACTGCTCATATTATTATCAAATTATACTTATATAATATACCTAAATAAATTTAAATAAATATTTGACAACATCACATACGTTGCTCTGACAAAGTAAGTAACTAAAGCACTTGTGTTATGGAAATCGGAAACAACGACGGTACCACAAACACCCAGACCCGAGCCAATATAGAAAAATTAGTTTTCTACATTGACCGAGGATCGAACCCAGGACCCCAGGTGGCAACACCATGAAAACTGGTGTGCAAGCCACTCTACACGGATATCATCAATAATATGTTACGTATATTAGCCTAAATAACTATTTCTCAAATTCCAGTGACCCCTCTGTCATCACCTGGCTGCGAATATCAATTCGGCATCTACCCGGACAGCAACGAGTGCTCGACGAGTTACGTGAAGTGCGCTTACGGCATTCCCAACCAGGAGCCTTGCACGCCAGGACTTGCCTACGACGACCGCATCCACGGATGCAACTGGCCAGACTTATTACAACCTTTCTGCAACCCTGAAGGTACTTAACAATTCCTGAAATAATGTGTACAAATAAAATTAACACAAAATGCGTTCGCACATTTACCAAATTTTACCATTACGTTAAAACTTGCTTGTGTTTATTGAAAGACTTCTTTAAAGACGTATTTAACGTAGTCATTATACTAAGGCGTCTTGGTAGATTTTATAGGTATTGATCGTAAAGTAGAATGAAAGAAAATACTATTTATTTGGTCTCATTTTCGTGTGAGTACTTGATGTAAAGTAAATCTTAACACTACTTAACAAACATTGAGATCCAAAATGATCTCAGCTTGGCATTTATCGGGTTGTGCATACAAATCAACGATGCATGAAATTCTGCGATTTGATGAGTAGAGAATCAAATCAATATGAAACGCATTAAAGAAATATTCTTTTTATCTCAATTAAAGTAGTTTTATTCAATGGCGGATCAGTGCACGCTCCGAACGATGCACTAATGACTATAATAGAAACAATCGCGAATCGACGCGTTTATTCATAACAATAGTTCCATCTAAATCTTGGTTTCTCCCACAGCGGTCGTCGGCTTCAAATGCCCGACTAAAGTGCCTGCCAACACGCAATCCGCCAAGTTCTGGCCGTTCCCCCGCTTCCCCGTCCCTGGTGACTGCCACCGTCTCATTACTTGTGTCGAGGGTCAGCCTAGATTGGTCACATGCGAAGAGGGCAAAGTGTTCGACGACCAGAACCTGACATGCGAGGATCCTGAACTTGTTCCACATTGCGCGCATGCGTAAGAGTTGAATGGTATTGCAAAACGAAAATTAACAAAACATTTTTCCAGTACATGGGTAATAGACGCCATAACAATTTATCGTATGGAATGTAATGTTAGAAACTACAGCAGTGAAATGATTTTTTTTAATTTCAAATACCCACTTACGCAATAGACGCAATATACCTACACTAATTTGAATAGTTTGTTTCATAAAGAGCTTCTCCCTTTTGTCTGATGTTTGGTTCATACGTTTTCGTTTTGCGGTAATGTTATACGGATAATATCCGGGTGGTTATTTCAGTGCGTGCCCTTTATTCGTCTTAAGTAATACTATTTATATTTCAAAATTACAAATTTCCACCGAATTCTATTTATTTATCTCATAATAATTTTCTAAATTATCTTTATAATCTCACTACAATCTGTGGCAATATTAGGTTACCAAATACGTGTATGTACAGAATGATTCGTGATATTAGTTACCATTAATAGACGTATGTATTTTAATGAATATCCTATGTATGTATACAGTTCTTGATCCCGGTGTAAATATATACTGTAAGAAAAGATGTAAATAGAAGGTTAAAAAAGTAAAGAATTTATTTAAAAAAATCAACGACTTTTACTTTCACCGCTTCATTGATATTTTTTTCTTCTAATTCCAAAAAGATACGTACACGTAACACTTAAGTTCCTCTTTTTTTAAAGTTTCCTTGTAACCGAGGAACGTATACGGACGTACAGTTTGTGAAAAATAACACTCATGGCTTACCTTATAATATCCTTCTTCTTTATTTAAAAGCTAGGCTCTTGTCGGTGGAGTAATCGACAATCATCTCTGTTTAGCGCTTTAGCCTTGATTTCCTGATACGACACGACATTAACTTTTTCCTTTATCTGATCTTAATAACTTCGTCTCAGTCTATCTCTGCCTCTCTATCCTTCGATCTTCCCTTCTATTATTTTCCTAAGAAAACTGTCGTGACGCATCAGATGACCAAACATTTTCACCGTTCGGTTCTCTATTGTCTTTAATAAGCTTCTCCTTTCATTCACTATTCTTACACCTCCTCATTGGTCTTTCTTTCCGTCCAACTGATTCCCTCCATTCTTCTCCAGCGCCACATCTCAAATGTATTTGTCCACGTCGCACTGTCATACAATACCATACTCCAAATATACACCTTATAATATGAGTACTTTAATAAAGAATCCTTGTAGTAACTAACTCATTTATATTTTGGTAATTTCAGAGATGTAAAAAATCCGCTTATAAGGGGTTATAGACCTCATTTCACTGTGTCCAGATATATTAATAACTTAATTTCGGTAAAAATGTCGACTACGCTAGTTATGACACTGCCTAGTATTGCCAAAATTACCAAAGAATCCATTACAATTCTAAATAAGTAAACATCGAGTACATAACCAGAAATAGACACTAAATGTCATTGACATGTTTGAAAACTATTCTGCCAAGTGATTGGTCAGCCTGAACTCGAAACAATTGACGGGTGTCGTCAATTGTTTTACTTCAACGCGACCAGTTAAACTGGAGCTTTGCTATAATGGACGAAAATGGAGGAAAATCACATATTTAATATTTAATTACAGATGAAATGTGAATTCCGTTTGGAACAGGGCCCCCATAGTTAGAGATTATTATCTTTATTACAATAAATACAAAATATTTTTGGAATATACGGAGACGTACATACTTGATATTCAAAAACGATAGTAGACCTCTCTCACTGTGTGCACCACTTCACCCGGTCCTCAAGGTATCGCATCCAATTCCCTACCTTTCGCACAACATCGCTCCACCTGACCGAAATGTGTCCAACATTACGTTTCCCAACTCGTGGTCACCAGTCAGTAAGCAACAAACAGTAGAACTCTTTGTGAAAGAGATCGTCCTGAGAAGTACTGCCACCTTACCTATTTTTATCGCCAATTTTTGTTTCGATTTTGAAGTGTAAGGGTGCTGGTAAAATTAGACACATGGGACTTGTCAACTTACATAAGTGTCAGGGTAACGAGCGCAGTGGCAGCGCCGCTCAGATCATAACATTTTTTAAATTGTATGATTTAAAACACTGCAACTATTATGGACATGCATGTCGCTTACCGCCAGGCGCATGACTCGTTCGTCCCGTCGTTTGGTATCATAAAAAAAGGCAAAAACGTTTGTTGGGTTTAGGAACTTTGTATTGTTGTCATTAGTATAATTTAGTAATCTGATATCACTTCACACTCTATCCACATGGGATTGTGTTATTTACCACAACACATATGAGAATTTTTAAACGCCATATTGGCCATCGCAGTACAGAGCTGCCGGTTAAATTAGCAACATAGCTAGTAGAAATATTTGTATAAAAGGTAACAGTCAACCGGAACAGATTAACAATTCTAGTTTTGTCTTGTACGTTTAACCTGTTGTAGCTCATTAGTGTATTCAGACTGTTCATTATTTTGCTACCTAATCCAAACAAACGATTTTGTTAGATTGAATCAATCTTTTTTAAGATACAAGATCATCTAGTTTAAAAGTCAGGGTTGTCAATTTCTAGCTACCTTGTTTAATCATCTTTCCATCGTTCATCTCCCATCTTTTCCTACTGTTAGCATTTTTTTTTGTATTTGTGGAATTCTAAATGAAAATATTATCATTAGTTTATTAACATAGTCAGTAAAACTAAAGATGCAGTTGTTCAATCCTATTCTACTATTTTAGGCTGGTATAATAAAAAAACAGACTTAACTCTTAATCATTTATTACACTAAACAAATGCTTTACTCCTCGTCATCGATGACTACAGCTTTTCCTTTGCTGGGGCGTTGTGGTTTGCGGCGCGACGGCTGTGATGCTGATGACGGTCTGGGTTTAACGGTAGGTGGGTTCTCTAGGGCGTCTAGCTCGGCATCAGTTAATTGACCTTTGTACCAGTCCGCGCTAAGGAATAATAAAAAGTAAATTTATTTGTTATGTTACCACATAAAACCTACTTAAAAAGTGTTATAATCAAATGGTAGCAGAAAATTTTGGTGAAATTACAGGCACATGGGACTTGTCAAGTTATGTCTCAGGGTGACAACTTATGGCGCAGTGACAGTACCCCTCCAATCTTTGTGTTTTAAAGCTCTAAGTGACACTGCAACTGCTACCGACTGGCGTGTCGCTCACCACCAGACCCACGATTTGTTCGTCCCATCACTTACTGCGGTAAAAAAAGGGAAATCTTTAAAGATGTCTAATCTCTCTCAATATATATACATCAAAAGAGAGTTCAGCAAAGCAGCTTTCAGGGCGAAAAATTATTTACTAATTCTTAATAGCAGCCACCGTATGGCTAATTTGCTGGTTCGAGTCCAGCCGGACTGAAGGAATGTTTCTTCGTGTTCACAAACAACAAACTTAGTAGTAGAAAAATGTCACAAAAATAACTGAATATCATAGTAGTAAAACATCATGATATCCAAAAAAACTTGATATTATTTACTAATAGCGTTCAAAAGGAAGCAGAATAAAAATTTCCGAATTTCCGGTATCTGGGTCCTTGAGTTGCACTTTCGTCTATGTTTTTTTTTCCCTTATCAAACAAACTAACGAAGCAGTACGACTATAAAAAAAATTACAGACAACTAAGTTAGAACTTAATCATTAACCAAAGTGTTATACATTCCTTGTTATTTGTGCAATAGAATAAATTTAAAAGAAATGTTTACCATTCAGGGACCTTCCTGGCCCACTCACACTTCTTGCTAACATCGTCGAAGGCCTGTCCGAGCTTGCATCCGGAGCGGCGTGGAGTGTTGCCATTGATGCAAACATAGAAAAATTGACAGTCCTCTGGGTCGGCATAACGAGGGTGGGTAAGACCAAACGTCTCATTTACTGCAGGGCAGTCAAATGCGAAAACCTCTGAAAATTTAAAAATTCATTACTATATCGGCCTTTTAAAAAACGAATACTACAACAAGCAAAACTATTGAAGCTTCCTTTCACTCGCTTTGAGTATTACAAAGACTTCTTTACGATTAAGGCTGCACAAATGTGGAACGATCTCCGAGGAGGAGGTTCTGAATTCGACTGTATGTTTATTTTTATATGTATGTTACGCGATAACTCTGACATTTGAGAACTGATTTTGATGATTCATTTTTTTGTCGGAAAGAGGGTATCTCAGAAGTGGTCCTATTTAAATTTGAAGAAAATATTCCACTTCTAAGGGTGGCAAACTAGGGGATGAACTTTTGAGGTAGGTTTTTTAGTACTCTGTACTGAGATTATTTGCAAAGATTTTAGCAGAATAACAAATATCATATTGCATTTTAATCTCAGTGAAGTCTCAACGTAATAACAATGACCCGGAGTTTCAAGAAAATTAGCAAAAATTGGGGTCTGTTGTTTTGTTACACTTGAATGTAAGATGATGGCATTTTTTATCAAGTAACTAAGTACAATAAATGTCATTAAATGTTCTTTTTTACAGTTTTATTTAAAATTATATAACGAGCAACTAGTTCTCATTTCATAACAAATTATAATCTCTAATATATTAAAAGCGCGTACGTGGTTGGATGTGTATTAAGGGAACTGTTTTTAAAAGTAAATGAACTTACCAGCTGCACCGCAACCCTTCTTCTTAGCCTCATCGGGCCATGTGCAGATACCAGTCCTGTCATTATACACGAGTCCATCGGGACATGTGATCATGTTAAACTTTCCATCCACGCAATAGTAGAACTTGCCGCATTCTTTCGGATCCTCGTGGGAGAAGTAGCCATTTTGACGGGGGCAGTGCAAAGATGGGATGGGCACCTCTGTGAATGAAATAAAATAATTAATTATGTTTTATGTAGTCACACTAAAAAGCACAATAACAAATTCGATTCTAGGTACGGAATAATCACACAGGCAAATTAAACACAAACCAATGCTTCGTTTCAAGCAAAAGTTGTATCTACTTTTTAGTGCATTACACGTTTATGAAAGATGCGTGCCAATATATAAAATCTAAGGTTTTTTACAAACTTCAAAAAAGGAGGAGGTTTTCATTTCGACTGTATGCTTTTTTTGTTTATGTTACGCGATTGCTCCGACATTTGTGAATCGATTTCGACAATTCTTTTTGTTTGATAGGGATTGCCTCAATAGTGGTTCCATTGAAATATGAAAAAAAAAAATTTTTTTAATTTGTAGTCGCGCACTAGGTAAGTCTGTGTTATGGGTGGGCGGTTTATAGAATTTCACCCACTTACCGTTCACTGATTTTAATAAAACTTGGCAAATGGATATAATCCCACAAACTGTTGAGGTCAGTGTATTTTTTTCCTATTTTTATGAATGCAGAATATGAAAAATTGGACTTTAAAGATTTTGAATCAAACTAATAATTAGATGGCTAATCTTTAATATTAAATACGACTTCCCTGATGTTGATCAACGATCATAAAACAAAATATTTTATTTGATATTCCTCCAATGAACACAACGCCAATTAAATTTTTAGACCTGTACTGTTTTAATTTTATTTATTGGTTTCTTTTTTTCTCGAAATTCCTATTTTTGTTCTTTTTCCAATTTCATTTCTTGTTTCTTTTTTTTTCACAAAATTCGGAGGTCATAATAAATAAATATGGCTGTTTACAAAAGAAACAGAAACTGATTTTTTCTGAGTGTTCGATCTTTGTATTAATGATTACAACAAACTAGTGGAGTAATTTCACAAAAAATAATTGAATATCAATTCAATAAAAATTTAAAATAACAGAAACTGACCAAAAAATAAAGTTGACGTAGTGTTCATTGGAGGTGTCGAAACGTTCAAAATATATTTAGTCAATGACAATAAACCAAAAAAAAAAAGATCGAGAAAATATTTCCGTTCACAACAATAAAGAGTCGATACTTGATACAGCGCTCAAGGTCGTGGTTCCCTTGAAATTGGAAAGTTGTTCCGAGCACCTGACCCTCAGTCAATACAATAAAGACTTCTTCGAAATCAAAAACTTGTTTAAATTAAACTTTAAACTAAATTAGAAGGTCAAGTAAAAATGCCAAACTCGTGTCATTTTCGCTAGTTTCTAAATTGAACTTTATAGATAAGTTAAAGTATGCAGGTAAGGTACAATAAAAGCTTTAATACTAGAAACTAAAACTAGAATTAAATTATATGAATAAAATTGGGTCCCCGCGACAAAGTGCCCAAGATGCTAGCAGCATTCCCCCTTTATCTATATAGCTATCTATGCTAATGCCTTGGGCAAGGTAGCTGCCGGTACATACAGAGTAAGCAATAAACCAAAATGTTCTTCACTATTCAGTAAGGAAAATCTGTCTCAGTTATTGATTTAAAAACGTTTTAGTACATTGAGAACAGATAAAAGTAGTGAACTAATGACTCTTTGATAAGAGACTTGGCAATACCTTGTAAAGTCGAAATTTATTGGTACCTCCACTCCTTTACTAGTGGAAAGGGATGGAGGTCTCTACAGTGGGTTTGGATGGACAGGACGTAGTCGCGATTACATCCTATTCAAACACGAGTTGGCGTGTAATCGACGCAACAGCATAAATATGTTAACGATACATAATTTACTAACGGTATTTGGGCCTTTGCGAGCAGTCAATGTTGAAGGGCAGATCACATTTTTCTTCATCTGGACTGTAGTCGTTAAAGACCATGCCGTCGGGGCACAGTTTTTCAATGATTTCACCATTTCTGTAACAATGGTAAAGTATGTTAATAAAATTTGAGCCACTTTCACGGTGTTTTTGGATATATAAAGGCGCTGTATACGGGTTGGCGGTTAATGGTGGTCATTAATTGTAACATTCAGTGGCAATCTGTAATATTTAGTAGCATTCAACAACGTTCAATAAACGGTACGCGACAAAATGCCCGTCCATAGCCGTCGCAGTGTACTCAGAGCGTTAAATCTCAAAGATCTGATGTGAAATGCCTTGCGCACGTCATCCTGAGATATAAGTTGACAAGTCCCATGTGCCTGTAATTTCGCTAGAATTCTTATCCTACAAAACCGGAACACAATAAATGACATTACCGCTTGGCAGCAGAAGTAAGTAAAGTGCTTCCCTGGATGAAGTATTTCACCAGGAGCTCTAATTAATAAAATTACATAATAATAACAATAATAATAACGCTCACACTTATAGCACACATAGAACATCACAAATCACACCCAAACTCAGGAGAGTAATAAATGTAGGCCATACAAAAATTTCTCCCCGCCCGAAAATCGCTGAATCCGAGCATGGTAATCGTTCGGCCATGGAGGCAGCAATATGATTATACCTATATTCAAACGATGTTCTAGTAAATATTTGTATACTTTAAACGAAATGAAATGCTACAACTAAATATTCCTGTCACGTCTGCAACTTTTTCTTTTTAAATGACGATGTGCATACAAGTATCCAAGTTAAAAAAGGTTAATCACCTTTAAGGACTTCGCACTTATAAATAACTCTATTGATTCATAACATACATAAAACGGTGCACCTTTGTGGCTGTAATAATTCTATTTTCTAACCGAAAAAACGTAATATTTATATCAAAACACTTTTTGTTAATTTAAGATAGGCAAGCATTGACTATTGAAGGTTTTAAAAAAATAAACTGTTTACTTTAAAAATAAATTTATCTATCGAGTTCTTAGGTTTTCGCGATTGTTACACATAGGAAATGAAACTGTTTTCCCGGATTTATTTCCGCGTATATTTGTTTTTTCAAACAAACCGACGTTTCGGGCCCTTTACAGGTCGGTCAGGTTAACTGGTTGAAGACTGTACCACCTAAATCAACCGTGACCATGGGACCTGTAAAGGGCCCGAAACGTTGGTTTGTTTGAAAAAACTAATATACGCGATTCAAATCCGGAAAAACAGTTTCATTTCCTAAATTTATCTAATTACAAGAACTAAAGATTATGGTGTTTTAATGTGTTGCCTATCTCAAGCGACATAATGGATAACTTATCTTTTCTAGCGTAATATTATACAGTGCTTGTTACAAAACAAATATAGTTACAAATTGTAGTAGCAGTAGAGCTTCTTGAGAAAGAATTTTTACCTTACCTTACCGCCTAAAACCTTACCTATTTCTGTAGCCAAGTGGTAATGTGAACATTACTGCGTTCTGGTTTGGAAGGGTAAGGGTGCTGGTGGAATTATAGACACATGGAAATTATCCAGTTATGTCTCAGGGTGACGGACGCAGTGGCAGTGCCCCTAAGATCTTTGAGATTTAAAGCTCTGAGTGGCACTGCAACTGTTATGGCTAGGCGTGCCGACGACTTGTTCGTCCCACCACCTGGTACGTGGAGCGCACTATAAGTTTTCGGAATGAATAAGAAAAAATAGTATAAATGGTCAGAAATGAATTTATTGTTTCTCAAAATATTATCCGTTAGCGTTATTTTTTTAGCAATATTATTTTAGCAATACACTTTTTCATACGAATGAACCAGTTTTGAAAACATTTATGCCACTCCTCCGTGACAATCTCTGAAACATATTTTTCATACTCTTCGACAGCCTCTTCAGGTGATAACAATCGTTGATCGCTTAATTTTTCGAAATAAATAAAAGTCACAAGGTGCCAGGTTGGGACTATACGCGGGATGGCTCACAAGGTCAACGTTGTTCACCTTCAAAAATTCGTTTGTCTGTCTGGCCGTGTGAGAACTGGCATTATCGTGGTGCAAGATGATACGACGTTTACGATTATTTTTACGGAGTTTGTCAATAATTTCCGGCAAACAAATGATCGTGTACCAATCACGGTACAACGATTCTCCAAAGCAACAGTAGCCTCGTGTCCAGTTTTATTAAAAAAAGAAACAATCATCCGCTTAGAGGCACTTTGCACGTGCGTCACTTTGGTTGGTTCGGCTCATCTCGAAAGACCCATACGCTCGATTGCTGCTTTGTTTTGGAATCGTAACTATAAATCCATATTTCGTCACCTGTTAGTATATCCCACACCAAATTTGACGCCTCTTCGTTGAATCTGGTAAGCATGACATTGCACCAAGTGACGCGTTCCGTTTTTTTGAGCCTCAGTCAAATTGTGTGGGATCCACCGAGAGCACAGCTTTTTCGCACCCAAATGTTTGAGTAGTATTGATTGTATTTGACTCATGCCAATACCTAAAGATGCCCAAATCTCATGGTATGTCACATGCCTGTCTGTTTTGATCGTAAGACGCATCAATGTTTTTGTTGTTAACAGGAGTGGACGGGCGACCATCACGAAATTCGTCACTGAGATTCACACGACCGCGTTTAAATTCTGCAAACCAGCGATAAATAGTCGTCTTGCATGGTGCTTCATCGCCAAAAGCAGTTTGAAGCCGAGCGAAGATCCGCTGAGCTGTTAAATTACACTTAAAGTTGTAGAAAATCATACTACAAAAATTTTCACGAGTTTCTAAAATGACGCCACAATGTAAAAACAAGTGACAGTCAGATGAAACAAAGCGTATTTTACAGTCAAATAGTTCCATTTTTAAGAGTTGTAATTACTTTTTAAATATTGTTTATGTAAGTGGCCAGTTCCGGAAACTTATATTGCGCCCTATGTATTATTAAAAAAAAGATAAATACTGTTTTTTTCAGCATACATCATCTCAGGTTTTACATGGACGACCTAAGGCAAGATGTCGTTTTACTACCTTTGTGTACCTACTCATTTAACAGTTTTGTTTGTTTTTAAAAACTAAAGAATATTTACGATAATGAGGTTATATGTATGCAAAAACTAAGAATAGACTATCGTTTCTGAACACTACAATGGTGCGTCAGAAACCAAACAGTTCTAAAGAACGGTTTATATACACTTTAGTAATAATGTGTGTAAATATACTTGACGCCCTCAGTGGCCTTACGATTTATACTGTGGGTGCTGGAGGTCCCGGGTTCGATTCACAATTGAGGAATGAACATTTCTAAATTGATTCTGGTCTGGGTGTTCTGGGTAGTCCATGCCGTTGCTCTGGTAATCAAAGTGCTGGGATTTCTCTAGTTCGAGACCAGGCAATTTATGCGATTGTCTGACACATTATTATTATTACATGCACCTGGTAGCGAGTGTGCATTATACATACAATGTGTGTGTATGTAATACGTAAATAATAAATTTTCTGAATGAATACGACCAAGGTACCCTAAATTTGCTAAAGTAGAGACAACAATACGCATAAGTTTTTATTTAATATTTCCATTCAACTCTATGCCACTTATAATAAGAACGTGTGAAGTTGAGAGTGCTTTAACTGCATTATTTTTTTCCTCTCACCTGCATTCATAATATTTGTCACATTGCTCCGCGTCAGCGAAAAACCCGTCGTCGGGGCAGGTGTTGGTGATCTCGGCGTCTCTCTCCACATCGGCGGCGACGCGAGCTGGCGGATTAGCTGGCTTCTTGCGGGTGTTCTTTGGTACAGCTGATGACGCTAATACTGGAATGGATAACACGACATATTTAAGACACGCTCTACATAGCAATTTTTGTAATATTCAACAGTGCACGTCGTAACGTCATGTTCATTTAAATTTTGTTTTTATTTTGTAAAGATCGAAACACATGAAAATCTAAAGGGGCTACGTCGGGCGAATATGGTGAACTAAGGTAACACAATCCAATCTAACTGTATTACTTTTTGACGACTTAGTAAAGATGTTTGTAGTTACGAATTATTATTATGAAATATGATAGTTTTACGATTCAATAGTTCTAGGACGTTTTTTTTATTATTAAGTTATAATTTTCCCGCCATTTCATGTATTTTTTTTTTTAATGACCCTAGACAATGTAACATTTTAAATAAAAAAGTTTTTTTTATTTTTGTAAAGTTAGCTAGTGCCAAAGACTGCAAACATATTTTGGCCACATTCCACAGCTGAGTAGTGAGCTGAGTCTGTACTAATAAATGTCCCGCATGTATTAGTACAGACTCTCACAGTTTTGGATTTTATATGCTTATCTTCGACGTGATGGTTTCATTAAATTATAAATTATAAGCGTGCTTAACTTAGATATTAAATCATACGTACATGCTATTACAATACGAACCGTCGAGCTTACATTGATAATTGTGACTTTTTTTTATCTATTTCTATTTACCAAGATTTATTGAAATCGGTTACAGGAAAGTGCGCGAAACCGGATTCATCCCCTAGTTTGCCGCCCTTAGAGGTGGAATATTTTCTTCAAATTTAAATAGAACCAAAACTGAGGTACTCTCTTCGCAAAAAAAAGAATCATCAAAATGCTGGTAATCGCGTAACATTCATACAAAACAAAATACTGTCAAATTAAGAACCTCCTCCTTTTTTTGAAGTCGGTTACATAGGTACCGCTCTCCAATGAGACTACCACCTTTCTCTATTAAGTAAAAAGTCTAAGATATGTGTGTATGGGTACACACATGTATTAAAACTATTATATTATTTCCTGCCAGTCTGCTATTAGTCAACGTCTGAGGTGACAATAAAAGCTGTTTGCATTGGGTGCGGTTGCAGCACTTGACTTGCTAGGTTATATTTATACGTTAAAGTGCTGTAGTAAAAGTATGTTATTTCCGAGATTCACGGAACTAAATATTTTAAAACTTTGACGTAAGTGCTACTATATAGCAAGCAACATAAAGGTGTGCTGTTAGCGATTTTTTAGTTCTATAGTAATTTTACGGTTTTTATCTCTATTTTTAGCTCTATAATAGTTCGACGAATTCGGTGACATTACCAATCTAGGCAACGAACTTTTCTGAATTTTTTCTTGTCTGGGTGTTCTCGGAAGTGCACCAGAGTAAATTTCGTTGCTCTAATACTACAGAGAATTCCATAATATAAGGCCAGGCAATTGATATAGTTTTCTGGCACATTATTATTACAGTAGCGGAAATGTTTTCAATTCTCATACCAGTAACGTTAGTCATATATTTGGCGTAGCAGGTCTAAATAGTGCTTTTAACGTTTTTACATTTTGAAATGCCTCGAAAATTTTAAACAATAAATTTTTGACAAGTATAAGTTTTGCGACGTTATAAAATACTTAAATAGTACAATTTTATAACAACCGCTACTCGATAAAATAAATTAATTAAATTTGTATTGAAATAACATTCAATTATTTTTTGTGAAATTACTCCACTAGAGTGTTATAATTATTAATACAAAGATCGAACACTTCGAAAAAATTCCATTGAAAAACAAATACAGAGATCCGATAAACATGGAAAAATTAATGAGGTCCACTAGTTCGTTCCGTGGCTTAGTTAGCGTGGCGTCTGACACGGTTTGCTAGAAGACATTTCGTACGAATTTTTTTTCGTACGATTCGACGTTTCGTATCTGGCTGGATCGAAGGAATGTTTTCTAAGTGTTCGATCTTTGTATTAATAATTAAAACAACTTAAATTCCTATTTGCCTTTGTGCAAACGCACAATAATACAATACTGCTATTGTGCGTTTGCAAGAAATGCAATAATTTAGTTTACCAAAACAATTTTTTTTTATCAGTACTGCTAATAATAACCAAATTTTTGTTTTTTTGAATTAAATTATCGCATTTCTTTACTAACATAATCTCAGTAAAGAGTACTCAAAAACCGACCTCAAGAGTACATGAAATTACATCTATTTGCTAAGTTTTATTGTAATCGGTTACCGGAAAGTGCGCAAACCTGGATTCATCCCCTAGTTCGCCACTATTCGGAATTTGACACAGGAGATAATAGAAATCGGTTTCCACTACTCAAAGTATATTGAGAGAAAAACGCCTTGAATTGGAGAATAGCAAAATCAACCATTAAAATAATTGCTCCTTATAATAAAATTTTGGCGCCATTTATAAAAATGAATCTTCATGCGTGAACAGCCACCCTTAAAGGTGGATGATTTTCTTCAAAATTAAGTGGGACCACTATGAGATACCCTCTTTCGAACAAAAAAAGAATCATCAAAATCGGTTCACAAAGGGCGGAGTTATCGCATAACATACATACAAAAATAACATACAGTCGAATTGAGAACCTCCTCCTTTTTTTGAAGTCGATTAAAAATAAAAATCAGTGTTTGACTCGGATGAAAAATCAATTTAACACTAATTCTAATTATACCCGCACGAGAATAGGCTCTTAAAATCTCTCTTGCTGCTTAAAATTTTACGTTAAATAGGTCACTTCATACCCATATTGAACGATCTACTAAAGCTCGTATTATAAAGTAACAAAGTATAGTTTTAAGCATAAAATTTGATGTGAGTACAGAGCATGTTCTAAATTATGTAGCAACGTAGCATATTGGCTAATACTAGAGTCGAACGAAATATGCGAAATTATGGCAAAACGTATCGATAATAATTTTCTGCACGTGTTGAAAGCGTTTGATATCATAAAGTTATTATTTAACGAAAATTAATTTCTGGAGACTTGTATTTTTTTACTGTACCAAGTGCGCCTAATCGAACAATTGCAGTGCCACTCAGAACTTTCAGATGAGCATTGCCATATCGCCCGTCACTTTGAAACATAAATTGGCAAGTCCCATGTGCGTGTAATTTCACCAGCTTCCTTACCCTTCAAAACCGGAACACAGTAATGCTGACATTACTACCCTGTACGAACTCGTTCATAAGGAGGTCTATTGCGACTATTTGTTAATCTGTTGATTAGTTAGTTATTTGTCTGTACTTAAAACAAAGAAATCAAAGAAATAAAATAAAATAAAGACGGAAAGGTTACAAATTTAAATTCCTAATGTTGCCGTAGGAAAAGGTTATGGTCTCATATTTCATGTCAGAAACCTTAGTAATGGTTTCTGACATGAAATATTTACTACATTAATTACATTACATTACACTAGATTAATATTTGCTACTTTTACAAACGTAATTATTGAATATACTAATATTACTTTTGAATATACTAATATTACTTTTGAATATACTAATATACCAGTAATTTACTGGTGTTTATTTCAATTTCAAGTACCTAATATATACTACACGTGTAGCTGTATCATATCATCTGTGAGAATCACCTGTTAGAATCTGTAAAGGTCACAATTTTCAATTTTTAGCCTCACTTCGCTGCAATTTCGTTTGTTTTTGTGAACCTTTACTTCCCATTTTTAATTACTAATTTCGTTAAATCGCAATTCAAATGTTCCCAATTTCAAACAAAAATTAAATTTATTACAAAATTTATAAGGATCGTAAAATGCACTATACGTATGTATATTATTTCAAGAAGCCTTAATTTTCTACATTTTACACATTATAATTAGAAGTTTTGTTGTATAAACCACTACACAATAAAAACCCCAAGGAAGAGGCGGATCGCGTTGATGTCTTTTGTATAAAAATCCATAACGTTACGTAGTCCATGTTACAAATTCTGAGAACAGAGTTACATACATCACATGCGTGAGTATATCTATGTGGCACAATGACTTCTTAGTAGGTTTGAACTATAGATCTACATCTAGATGGAAAACAGAATGTTTTGCTACTAACCATAAATTTTTACTTACCGTTAATTACAATTGTGTTAATTATAAAGAAATATTTTTTTTTATTTTAAGAGATGCGTCTCTGGACCCACATAGAGTTAATTAGACTTCCCTCGTTTGATGTTTACTTAAATAATATGGTAACAGCGCTATATTTTAGTACTGAAGTTTTGCTTATAGTGGCCCTTCCTATCAACCTTTGGTTATACGGGAAGGACACTATAATATGGTCCCGTATCTTACTACTAAGTATTGTTTACAGTGCTCGACCTCTGTAATATGGTAAGTATAGATAGAACTTTTTTAGTAAGCAGTAGAGCTCCTTGTGAAAGAGTTCGTCCAGGGGAGTACTGTCACCCGAACCTGGTTTTCAAGGATAAGGGTGCTGGTGAAAATACAGACAGTTGGGACTTGTCAATTTATGTCTCAGGGTGACGACGGCCGAAGTGGCAGTGCCTCTCAGATGTTTGCGACTTAAAGCTTTGCGTGGCACTGCAACTGCTATGAACAGGCGTGTTACTTACCATCAGACGCACGACTAGTTCGTTTCGTCTCTTAGTATTGTAAAAAAATATGACTTAATGGAAAAATATCAAAACTAGATCCTTGATATTAGGTTTTGGATCATATGTAACTGCATATTATTATTTAAATCTCTGCGTGGCACTGCAACTGCTATGAACAGGCGTGTTGCTTACCACCAGACGCACGACTCGTTTGCTCCGTCACCATAAAATGAAAAATCTGACACAATGGAAAAATAACAAATCCAAATTAATGTCATTAGTTTCTGGACCATGTGTAAGTGAATATTATCAAGTTTATTTGTTTGATATCGGAACGGCATCGCATTTGTTTCTGAATTTACTATCATAATGTTCAGTGCTACTTAGGCTCTTCATAATACCTGTGCAAATATGCATAAATTGCTTATTCTATGCAATGAATAAGTAGTTGAAGGATGCCTAAAAATTAATTGTAGTTCTAGCCTGGACAAGGTTAGTTCCTTGACATCATAAACATACGTTGTGGTGAATGTTAAGTAGTGTTTGTAAGATTGCAACAAAGCTAAAATATACGTTGCATTGTTATTTTTATATTCATTTATTATTTCCGCAAAGATATACTACTATACGAATGTGGGGCTAGTACCGATAAGTTAAATGTATGAAATGATTCATATAATTTCACAAAATACTAAACTTATTTATTGAAAATGCAACTTCGTTGATACAGTTTATGAGCGATGCACTTTTTAATAATGTCCTTGATATACATTTACTTAGTGCAAAACTAAACCTCTTTCAAAGTCCACCATAAAGTACCTTTGTTTATATATAAACATAATTAAAGTTTCTAAATAATGTAAAAATAATTAGACTTATAAATATTCTATAATTTGTTTTGTAAATCATATCTACAACAGTTTTATAAATCAATGTCAATGACAATATAAAATTTAAATAACGAAAACAAAATCCACTCACCAACTACACATGCCAGTAGAACTATACTCGACTTGAACGCCATCTTGTGTTAATATCACTAAATCTTCACTAAACTAAGCTGAATGTCACTTTTGTGACCTATTTCGCTCGCTGTGTGCACCACTCTGACTCTCTATAGCGCACTGAACATAACAGTATTTGCCGTCCATTCTTAGCCGCCCGGACTAAGAACCACAAATTTACTAATGCATTTACACAAACTTGTAAACAAAGACAAGGGGAACGGTCGCGGCGAAAGGGGGTATTTAAATTTGTATGAAACTCAGAACACTACATTCTTATCCGCACGCAAAAGTAAAGTTGTCGATCACTAAATGAAAGGCCGTGTCAATACATCCATCCTCTTTCCACTCGTCAAAGATTACATAAGTCATATCTACTCGCACGTTAGTAAGTTCTTTAACATCGGATCCTGTTATTGTTGTACGTGTTAGGCAAGAAAACTTCTAATTAAATTACAATTATAGGAAATGTTGTTTACTCCATCATTGTAATAATTTAATTGCGCTAATTGGCTTTGACAATTTTTAAATTTTTTACGTAAATTATTTGCGGTTAGGTAATTATAGGCAGTTTTAAACTAGTTTATGAAAACTTGTTTTTTTTTTAATTTATTACGAAACTAAAGTGTGATTACAAAGTAAAAAATTTGTTATAAAATATAGTATATACTTGTACAAAACTAGCTTCTGCCCGCGACTTCGTCGGCTTAAAATTTTTACGAGAGTTATATTACACCAATAAAATACAAATGATAAATATTCCAGTTTACAAATGTTAAGTATACGATTATGTATGGAAGAAGTTATTTAAAAATATTTTGATACCCTGATTTATCTATTTCTAGGGCTTATTTTGAAAAACCGTATATATTTCTTTTTATTTATATTATTCAAATCAACTTTGAAGCACATCGCACCACGCGTTAGAAAGTTCACGTACAAACTTTAAACCCCATTATTTCATACTTATTCAGGAGTAGTTTTGAAAAAAATGTCAATTTTTTACCAGGTGCATTATAGAATATTTATACTAAGTTTTAGCTTTGTAAATTCAAGGAACACAATTTTTGTGCTAACATTTTTACCCTTTTTCATCCTCATTGTAGTTGCATTTCGAAACATGCGTTCTTAATACGCCTACTTGAATAATAGTAACGTACTTTCAAGTATACATGTTTGTAGGACCTGTGCGCACCACTGAATTTCTCTGAACCATACTACATATTATACACACATAAATATAATTGCTAACAATTTACAGCCATATTTTTATGTATCACTAAGGGCATGTTATTTATTATATTATGTAATGTAAATAAAATAATAATATTAATATATGCAACACAACCACACTAATTGCCTGGACTCAAACCAGGGAATTCCCTTAACTATGAGTACCACGTCAACGGAATTGTCTCTGGGGCACTTCCAGAACACCCAGACTAGAACCAATTTAGAAAAGTTAATTTCCCAAATTGGTTCTACCGGGAATCGAACCCGGTACCTCCAGCATCCAGCGCCCATAATGTAAACCGTTAGGCTATCAAGGTCGTCAATTACATGATACTCAAAAAATAATACTACTCAAAGCTCAACACATTAGGTACCATACATTATGGTACGGTGTAATGGGCACACCAGCTCGTGACACAACCGTCGGGTTCCGTCCAAGAGCCTATTTTGCCACGCGTATTAACAAAAATGTTAAATTTAAATCAAACAAATTGTTACAAAATCAAATATAAACCGTAATTCGCATAATTCGAATGCATATGACCGCATAATTGTTGCTCGAATCGCGTGCGCATCATGCAAATAACACTTTCTTTGCGCATGCGCTAGAAAGCGAGCATCTTGCGTTTCTCTTTATGAGAACGATTTTTGGCTCGGACAAACTCGCTACGATCACAATTGATTGAAACAAAATAGAATTTAAAATATTTGGCTTAAGAATTAATGATATGAGCAAAATCTTTTGATCTGGTCTTATCGAATGGTTACATAATTAATTCCACGATGGACACAATCTTCTTGATATGAATCGTTTTTGTTTTAATTTTCAATTTTTAAGTGCAACTGACGTTTTACTATCTCGAACGAGATCTTAATTGCCTATCACTTTTATTGGCTCTGTTGATCTCTGGGAAATCTCGTTTAATAAAGCATATTCGTAATTTTATTTGTGATTGTATCTTTCATAAAATAATAAATCTAGTTTGATAGGCACATGGGACTTGTCAACTTATGTCTCCGGGCGTAGTGGCAGTGCGCCTCAGATCTTCGCGATTTAAAACTCTAAGCGGACGGCAAGTGTTATGGATAGGCGTCTAGTTTACCACTAGGCACACGCCTTGTTCGTCTCGTCCACAGTCTCGTCACTTGATGTTATAAAAAAAATAAAAAATGGCACACTTGATATAATAAGGTTACATCAGCAAAATTATTTTCACTTCACCTTTTTTTTTTGTTTTTTTTTATGATATCAAGTGACGAAGTCAGGTGCTCAGAGCGACCGTCACCCTGAGACATAAGTTCACAAGTTCCATGTGCCGGTAATTTCACCAGCTCCCTTCAAAACCGGAATGCAGCAATGGTGCTAGGCAACAGAAATAGGTAAGGTGACAGTACGTCCTTAGACGAACTATTGTACAACTGGCTCTACTGCTACTAAAACATTTCAACATATCCTTGAGTATTCTGGCCAGATCCTACCCCAGCAAAACCAATAAGTATTTGTTTGTACATTATCGAGAACAACAATGTTGAAAATCTACGTTTACTTGTTTCTGTTTCTCGATATATAAACACGCATGCGAATAAACTAATTGAGAATTTGTTTTATTTAATTAGACGCTACAATAGTGTAGAGATGTTGTTTGAATTAAATAACCGTGTCTATGAAGAAGTTACTTGTTAGAAGACATTAATTAGTATTAAATTTTAGTGTCTATTGACTTCATAAATTACAATTTTTTTTATGACATCGAATGACGGGACGAAAAAGTTATACCCAATAGGGCTAGCACGACAGGGCGCGAATTGGCGAGAGCGACATAAAGCGCAAGAAACTGTTATTTTCGCATAGGTATATCGCGCTTTATATCGCTCTCGCGCAAGTCGCACTTTATCGTGCTAGCCCTACTGGTAGTAAGTGACACCTTGTCCATAGCAGTTGTAGTGCCATTCAGAACTTTAAATCACAAAGATCATACATAAGTTGAAGTCCCATGTGCCTGTAATTTCACCAGCACTGCTACCTTTCGAAACCGGAACGCAGTACTTAATTAATACTTACATTACACCTTGGCGGCATTACCTCCCTAGACGAACTCTTTCAATAGGAGCTCTACTGCTACTAAAATACAATACAAATTTACTCAATTACGATTTTTATTTACTAATTATCTAGACATAAAAATATAATATAAGACATTAATAATTTCATAATTTCTCATGGGGTTGTGGAGGTTATTTGAAGATATGAAATAATACAACGATCTTCCATATGAAAACAGGAATAATTTTGACTTTATTTAATTACATTTTGATTACATGCAAATTATTAAGAACGGCGGCATTTCGTTATAACCTTTATATAGGCTGCACGTTATCTTCAAAATATTTTTTTACGTCTTTACCACTAAAGATTACACTGGTTTCAGAACAGATTTATAATGTAGTAAAGTGGATGCTAGTGTTGAATAAATATGCATTAATATTAGCGATCTTTATCTATTCCCCCACACATTTCTAGGCATTGCCTCCACAATCAGCAAATACAGGCATTAAGTGACTAATCAGTGCGTTGGCTGTGTTCGCGTAATTAAGGAAACACAATAAAACCTCTACGTCTGCAGCGTCTACAGCGTCCACCCACTAGACACGATAGAATGATTACGAGCAACAAAGGAATTTTAACATGAATTTGTACACAAGCAAGAGCAGTATGCGCTTTATTGTAAGAAACTTTAAGACCATGGTTAGCATGACATTGGTTTGGTGGTCTTACTTACATTTTTAATGATACTGCATTTTGTATTTTTTTTTTGTTTATAATACAAAGTGATGTCCATAACAGTTGCAGTCCCATACATAGCTATGAATTGCAAAGATCTTATGGGTACTGCCAGTGCGCCAGTCACCCTGAGACATAAGTTGACAAGTCCCACGTGCCTGTTATTTCACCAGCACCCTTAACCCTTCTAAACCGGAACGCAGTAATATTCACATTACTGCCTGGCAGCCGAAAGAGATCAGTTGTAAATTATAATTGTTTTTTATACATTTGTCTAGTTTCTTCTCAGGGAATTCGGCCTTACGAATGAGAAGCAAATGTCATTTGCTTAAATACCAAATAAAGAAATATTGAATTTGAATTTGAGTCATCAGGGATATCATTATTTACTTGAATAAGGAGAAAAATGCATGTAGTTTATATGGTCCGTGACTACTTTTTTTTTATAATACCAAGTGAAGGGACGAACAAGTCTTGCGCTTGGTGGTAAGCGACACGCCTATCCATAACAGTTGCAGTGCCACTCAGAGCTTTAAATCGCAAAGATCTTAGAGGCACTGCCTCTGCGCCCGATACCCTGAGACGTAAGGTGACAAGACGAACTCTTTCACTAGGAGCTCTATTGCTACTACGAACCCATCAGCTTACATGTGTCCACTTCTGGACATAAGCCCCTGCGCACATCAACTCTTCCGGTCCTACGCCACCCGCTTTCAACCGGTGCCGGCTGTTTTTATCAAGTCGTCCATTCATTTTTTCCTAAATAATTAAGAATAATTTCAGTGAAATACTAAATTAGAGCTTGTTTTTTTTCAGTGTGCGTCGAACAAAAAAAAGCAGTGGTCGCCTTATGGTTTGACTAACCGCCTCTCAAGCAAAGACCGTGTGTTCGAATCCGGGTTCGCTTCTCTGGTTTTCTTGGAATTTAAGTGTTAAATCTAATTTGTACTATGACTATTTGTACTTTTTGGTGAAGGAACATCATAATGAAATCGTACTGAACTTCACATCGTAATGAAAGCCAAAATCGTAATATTTTGTAGTTGTTAAATTTATAAACGTAACTATAGGAGTCAAAAATAGCTGTCAAAAGGACGTCAATTGAACTTGACATAGTAACAATAATAATAATCATTTATTTCCAATCACAATGGTATTCATATTTTATTAGGTACATACAGAGGTTGAAATGATAACGTGTTTGACCGTTGTGAGAGAGCGGAACCTGTACTAGGATACCCTGTGTTACAGTATTCCTAATAAATTCCTTATAATGTCACTCTCTTTCTCTCGCCTGCCATTGTACCAAATGTACGTAGATAAGTTTTCTCTAAATAAAACTAATAACAATCCACGTAATCGTTTCCTTTTTCGCCAATAATCCAACAAAAATAAGGTTCACAACCATTAGAAAACATGTGAAGTCCCCAACTTGTACCGGGTCAGGCTGGTGGAATATGGTCTAAACCCCTCGCCTGAGATGAGACCCGTACCCGCGCCGTGAGCTGACATTTAAATGGATTGATGATCGCGTGTGTCGAAAATACCATACATCCTCCGAGTGTTGATGTGCATCTTTCGATGGACAATACAAATAAATACACAATAAATAAATAATTCTTCAGAAGAAAGGTAATCGTGAGAATTCGTACAAATTGGATGGTGTGTTGCGTTGATTAATTTATGCACAAGTTCTTCATTTCTTCAGGTACCCATCTCGCAGTGTCCTCTGTAATTAAACGGGTAAAAGCAATAAGACTATTGGTTCTTTAGGGCTTGCCATTGCCCACCCAAAGAACGGAATGTAATATTTCACGTTCTGCAAGATTTAGTGCACCTTCGGACAAAGCGACAGTCGCCGCCTTATGTGTTATTATGTTACACTATGGACATTTAATTGGCTTGACGAACAAGTAATAATTGAACAACAATTTACTTCAGAAACTTATCCCAACGAAACGAGATGTTTGAAGATCAACTAGTCAATTTTTTTATAACACCAAGTGATGGGACGAATAAATCGTCTGCCTAGTGACAAGCGCCACTCCTGTCCGTAACAGTTGCAAAGCCGCTCAGGACTTCCTTAAATCTGAGAACTAAAGAAAAAAGAACTGAAACTAAAAGAGAAAAAGAACTGAGAAACTCTGAGACGTAAGCTACTTTTAGTAGCAGTAGAGCCTCCTCATGAAAGAGTCCGTCCAGGGAAGTACCTTACCTATTTCTGCCGCCGAGCAGTAATGTTAGCATTACTGCCTTTCTGTTTTGAACAGTAAGGGTGCTGATGAAATTACAGACACATGAAACTTGTCGACTTATGTCTCAGGTTGACGGGCGCAGTGGCTGTGCCCCTCAGATCTTTGCGATTTAAAACTTTAAGTGGCACTGTAACTGTTATATACAGGCGTATAGCTTACCATCAGGCGCATGACTTGTTCGTGGCGTCACTTGATATTATTTTAAAAAATCCGGACCGCAGTAATACTCCCATTAACCTTGGCGGCAGAAATAGGTAAGATAGCATTAGTTCTCTGAAACTAACTAACTAACTGTTTCACAAGGAACTGTATTGCTACTAAAATTTTTCTTCTATGAACTTATTCGACTATATTTAGTAAGACAATCAGACTCTTAATATTAACTTATGTGGGGTTAATTGAATTCTGTCAAGTTACTCTGCAAATTGCTTTTCCCGATTGGGATCTTTATTATTCCTTACCAAAAAGGTCAAGAACTTTTTTAAGGTGCATCTTTAATGGTCAGTTTATTTTATATTATCGATATCTACTTCTTTTAAAGTTATTATACTGCCCTCATTATCGTAAGTAATATAATCATATTTTTAGTGAAATCGAGTTTTTAAGTTGGAATCAGCAAAACAAGATCTACAACTCCCTCTGTTTTTAATGTCTTTCGGTTTTTTAACCGGTTTTTTAATACTTTATTTATTTTCAGTTTTATTGCTAGATCAGCGTAAGTGATAATAAAACTTTACTTGCCAATATCTCTTGTACCTGCCACCAGATGTGACAGAATGTCAACCCCTCTTCCAACATTCAGGCACATCTTAGTGCTAGCAAAAGTAACGACCATACACTATAAATCAGCATAAAGACTCACGTACTAAATAAGTTTCATAACCAAAATATAACCAGTCATCTACCAATCAACGACTCAATTATTTCTACCTTATATCACCATGCCGCAGCGGTCACTACTAACACCCTTCCACCTGCATCATGGTACATCTCTTAAAGTTACGGTAATGCAAGTGCGTTATAGTATGCATCATAATTAGGTGTCCAAAATGTAAACACATGGGATAACCGAGCAAAAAACAATCATTTTAAATGGTAGTTAGGAAACTACCATTTAAAATTTATGACGATAATAAATGTTTAGAACTCTTTTCAATCTGTAACCTGATAAAACTTAGAACAATTCACATTTTGCAATATATATTTTTACTAAATTTCGTTGTATACAATGATTAGAATAAAATATTATGTTTACGGCCGCAAATAATTTTATGACTCTGGTAACACAGTAGGAATCAAAAACATTTTTTATGCCGCCATTTTGTCGTGTCATAGATGTCATTTGTGCTATTATTCTCGAACTGGAATGTTTTATCGTTTCCGTAGTGCGTTTAATAAATTATTGCGTTGTTATTAAAGTTTTTATTTATTGTTAATATTTTATGATAGATAATTAAAATTGTAGACTGTGAAAACCTCCTCCTTTTCCAATTCCGTTAAAAATAGTAGGTTTAGTACACCTGCACTCATACTTTGACAAAGACATTTCTTTGCTTACGTTTTGGACAATGACGAGGAGGGCATTATAACAACCACAACTACTTATGAAAATAAAAGCTCTTCCAAAGAAACTTAGATCATGAAAAGGGAAGGTTGCCGATCGCTGGAAGCACTCGTATTCGACTCAAGAAAATCACAACAAAGGCTAGAGTCCAGTCATCTATTCACCATCAAGCATCTGTCAATGTCTACATTATAACAGGTCATAAGAAATTATGCATAACGTGAAAGGGGCCTGCTAAAATGAGTTGCACATTGACTTTGCTTCGTAAGCACTAGAAAAGGTCAACGTCACCTCACAGATTTCTATAGGCGTCATTAGTTCTATGCTACGTTTGAAATCTCGATAACGCTGTACGGTAACCAATTTATTTATAGAGTTCGTTGAGACGCTACAATAGTGTAGTGATGTTGTTTGAATAAAATAACCGTGTCTATGAAGAAGTTTCTTGATAGAAGACATAATTAGTGTTAAATTTTAGAGTATATTCCTTCATAAATTACATTTTTTTTATGACATCAAGTGAAGGGACGAAAAAGTCGTGCGCCTGGTGGTAAGTGATACCGGAACGCAGTAATGCTTACATTACTCCTTGGCGGCAGTACCTCCCTAGACGAACTCTTTCACAAGGAGCTCTACCTACTGCTATTAAAATATAGTAAAATTTCTCTCAATTACGATTTTTATTTACTAATTACCTAAAAACAATATAAGGCATTTATAATTTCATAATTCCTTTTATAGGGTTGTAGACGTTATCTGAAGATATGAAGTAATAACGGCGATCTTCCGCATGGAAACAGGAATAATTTTGACTCCATTTAATTACATTTTGATTACACCCCAGTTATAGGGACGACGGAATGCAATAACCATTTCGCTAGATGGTATCGCTGCAATTTTGAATTAAGCATACATACTCATAAAGCACTCATACTCGTAGTATTAAAATAAAAATTTGAAATTAGTTGGGTGTTTTGTTGTCGCTGTATGCTTAGTTCAAAAACGCAGTATTCCGCAATATTGCGTTATTGTATAAAGGCAGTATCATTAAAATATTTTTAATATTATACAAAAAATATATCAATACCGTTATAACCATAACATCACAAATCACAAATGTTAACATTACCTACCACCTTCTTCCTACCACTTCCTTCCACCTGCAAAAATAACTTGGTATTTCTTAGTACAAAACTTGCTATCGAGATGCAAGTCGGTGACTATGATACATTGATACATTTAGATAGTGAAGCCGATTCGAAATGTCGGACGCAACAGACGTTATTTATAGCACGCGGATACGTGGACGCAAATCCTGAAGAATTTATTCTTCGGATCTCGAAGGAAAGAGACAAAAAGTCATCTCCTAGACGCTACAGCATGATTCCAAATAAGTAAGTTAAACAGCATTTACAATACACATAATATTATATAATTATATAAGTTGTTAAAACTAGCTACCAAAGAGGATGTACTGTCTACACGTTGGCGTACTGGACTATGACAATTGTGTTTATACAATAACGTTGCAGACCACAAACAAGTAGCTTGTTAAATAAAATAGGAGTTTTACTTTAAAAGAATTTCATGTTATGCAAATGTACCCAGTAGTGGGTTTCGCTCTGTATTCTGTATCCGATTCGCATTCTTTCCGAATCCGTGAAATGACGGTCCGAAACGGATCGTTTCGTCTCTAGGTGTACAAGAGATATTCGTATTTTCTACAATTTCAATCGGACTTAGTGCACAAGCGACATTCGAAGTGGGTCCGATTTTCTAGATTTGTGTAGTCTCGGATTCACTAACGAAATGCGCTAGCTTACGCTCTAGAATACCACAGAATCCTACAGCGATAACGATAAATTTTGTGGAATTCTTATTTATTCAGTTCGTTCACCACCTTAATAAACAAGAACTATGAATGGGCAATAAACCAAAAACGCGGAACGATATATCTCTGTTCACAATGAGATAATAAAAAATTACACGCATTATAATGCACAAGATTAATATCATCTTTAAAAAATACATTCGTCGAGATAAACATTGTATGTTAAAAATATGCAGATACTGTAGAACAAGCATATCCTTTTAGGCCCTATAAGAGGCTAAAACTAGAGCCCACGTATGTATAGGTAGGTACTTGTTTTCGAGTACCGACGCTATAAAAGCTAGCCCGAGCCTGTAGCCCTGACATTGCCTTCAGACTATCCTTAAGGGTTCGAATCCATTGGTAAAATGTTCCGAGTATTGACTGTCGTAGTTGCGGTTTTGGCGTTTTACGATGTGAGAAGCGACTCTAGTCAAATTAGGGAGAAGGTAGAGAAAAGTGTGCGACAGAAGAGGCTGCTATGTAAGTACAATTTTAATTGCTTCTGGAATACAATATTGAATTTCTTTTTTTTTTAATATTAACATACTCGCTACTCCATAGAATATTATCTTTCTGAATATTTTAGTAAATTAACTGTGGTAAGGTTTACAATAAAATGTTGAAGTCAAACAATTATAATAACGCAAAGCAGTTATTTTATTTTATTTTATGTATATCGACGACCTTGGTGGCTTAACGGTTTGCACTGAGAGCGTTGATTACGGAGGTTCCGGGTTCGATACCCGGTTGGACCAACTTAGGAAATGTTCTTTTCTAAATTTGTTTTAGTATGGGTATTCCGGCCTCGGAGTGAATTCCGTTGCTGTACTCATAGTGCAGGGAACACGCTAGTTTGACAGAAGTAGTTGATTTCTGTGAGGCTAGAAAATTGTGTCACGATAGAGTCAGGTGCCGTTCCATGGTCTCTGCCCGCCTCTCCTAAGGGACAAAGGCGTGAGCTTATCACGTAAGACATCAGGCAATTGGGGTGATAGTGTGACATATTATTATTTCAATTTTTTTAACGCGCTCACTCACATAGCCCCGCACTAGTTAAGTCCTGTGTTGCGAGTTCCATGAAGTCATGGACACACACATAGACAACCACAAATTACATCCAAACTCACGAGAAAAATAAATGTAGACCCTACAAATATTTCTCCCGACCCGGGAATCGAACCCGGGACGTCTCCGTGGCAGACGTGGTGACCGTTGGGCCTCGAAGGCAGTAAGTTATCATTAAATTCGACTGTTTTTTTTGTGTACGTTACGCGATTACTGATGATAATTTATGAACCGATTTTGATGATTACTTTTTTGTTTGAAAGAGGGCACTTCAGTATTGGTCCCATTTAAATTTGAAAAAGTATTCCACCTGTAAGGTTTTCACCTCAATTTCTTTTCTACAAACTAACTTTTAGTATATTACCACCAATAAGTGATCGTTAATGCATTTATAACCTGTCATATACAAGTATAATGTATAATTATAATATATTTTCTGATGGAAAAAGTCATAGAAAGGCAAGTCCATCGATTACTTATGCGCACTCCTCATCTCCATAAGATTTAATACGCAGAGAATTATTAGCTACGTATTTTACATAGGATTACATTCGCATTGGGAGATACCTGTCTGTCACTACAAAGCTAAATATAGAGTCGCTTTTATGTCTGTTAAAATTGTAATCTGATTTGGAAATACAAAAGCCCGTACGCTATGCATTACATAATTATTAATAGCATACATTTGATTATGTATATATAACCGAGGTTAACGATTTGTCCAAAAAGGTATCATACATAGACTTTCCAACAAGCGGCTGTATAAATATGGAGGGGTGTGCAAAACCAGACAAAACACATTAATAAATTTTATTAAACACGTTACATAATATGTAAAAGAATGGAGACAACAGAAAAACAATTAAAAAATACGCTAGTAAAAAGCACCAACAACAGGCGGTTTTCATAGTGTCGCCATCTCTGAGGTCACAGGTTCGATCCCCAGCCGGGTCAATGTAGAAACTAATTTTTCTTGTTTGTGGTACCGTCGTTGTTTCTGATTTCCCTAATACAAGTACTTTAGTTACTTACTGTGGGATCGGAGCAACGTATATGATATTGTCTAATATTTACTTATTATTTATTTATGTAAATAATAAGAAGTTTGTCCAGGGAAGTTTTGCCACCTTACCTATTTCTGCCGTCAAACAGTAATGCGAGCATTACTGCGTTTGGAAGTGTAAGTTAAGGGTGCTAGTGAAATTACAGGGACATGGGAAATGTCAACTTATGTCTCAGGGTGACGGGCGCGGTGGCAGCGCCACTACGATCTTTGCGATTTAAAGCTCTGAATGGCACTGCAACGTTATGGATAAGCGTGTCGCTTGCCACCAGGCTCACGACTTGTACGTCCCGTCACTTTGCATTATAAAAAAAGTAGTAATGTAAGCATCAGTGCATTCCGGTTTTGAAGAGTAAGGGTGTTGGAGAAATTATAGGCTCACGGGATTTGTCAACTTATGTCTCAGGATGACAGGCGCAACCAAAGTGTCCCTCTGATTTCCGCGACAGATGTGTTGCTTAATACCAAGTGCACGACTTATTTGTCCCGTCACTTGGTATTACATAAAAAAAATATTATAATTATTAATACAAAGATCGGACACTCAGAAAAAATTCCTTCGATACGGCCGTATTCGAACTAACGGCGACATCTTCACCAACTAAGCCACGGAACGAACCAGCGGACCTCACGAATTTTTCTATGTGCTTGCGTCTCGTATCTTTGTATTTGGTTATTTCAATGACTTTTTAGCCGTAGCGCCATTTAAGAGAAATCTATGATATTTCGTCACCCAGTTAGATACCTTTACAGCTATCCGCCCCGGCTAGAGATGTCGTTATTAATTGTATTTTAAATTTTTATTGAATTGATATTCAATTGTTTTTATGTGAAGTTACTCCACTAGTTTGTTATAATTATTAATACGGATCGAAGGATTTTTTCTGGGTGTTCGATCTTTGTGTTAATAATTGTAACAAACTAGTAGAGTAATGTCACATAAAAGTAATTGAATATCAATTCAATAGTTTAGTTACATCCTCACTATACCATCTTCGATTTACTAGAAAGTAGACGCGACAAACACGAAGAGTTTTCCTCTATCTTTCCTGATGCATACGGCAAAGGAATGGAAAACACTGCCGACATCTGCGTTTCCCGAAAGCACTTGCTACCGTCGTGGGCCTGGTAGTAAGCGACACGCCTGCTTATAACAGTTGCAGTGCCATTCAGAGTTTTAAATCCCAAAGATCTTAGGGACACTGCCACTGCGCCGGTCACTCTGAGACATAAGTTGACAATTCCCATGTCCCTGTAATTTCACTAGCACCCTTAACTTACACTTCCAAACGCAGTAATGTATAGTCCCATGTAATTTCTCCAGCACCTTGCGCTTTAAAACTGGAACGCAGTAACGCTCACATTACTGATTGGCGGCAGAAATAAGTAAGGCGGCAGTACTTCTCTGATCGAACTCTTTTCCAAGGAGTTCTGCTGCTAAAATTCACTCTCGCATTGAAAAGACTCAAACTATGGCATTCAGGTAATCCGTTCGCCATATAAATGCATAACGCTTCACGTGAATCCTTAGAATATTTGCAACAGACAGGTGGGACTCCGGACTTTGTTTAGTCCCCCGATGATAAAAAGGGGAAGTCGGAACAAAATCGTGCAATTATAATTATTTACTGTCTTTTTTATTACCCTGATATCACAATCAGTAAAGAAGACGTAGTATTTTTGCTACATCATACATTGATCATTACAAAGGAACAAATCAAACCTTATTCAAGTATCCACGTACACTTTTGAAGTGGTCGACCAATCAAGATGCATGATGTACTGGAAATTGCATTAACGTTTTTTATCTTTTTATACTTACTTGAATAATGATGGATGATTATTTGGAGGGAATAAAAATAAGTTTACATTATCCATTGGTAATTTTCATACCATAAGTAATATTCCACGGTGAGTTGAGTTTAAAGTAACGATACAATTGAGTAGGTACTGTTTCTTATATTATGTAAAAAAGTTGGATAATTTATTATTATACCGCGCGCGAAATGCTTTCTTTGAGACGTGTGACTTATTTGGAGTTGGAGTTTTTGTTTCAGGGCTGAATTTCTTTTAGTTAGGTTGTTTGACAAGCGGGAGGGAATTAGGGCAGTTGGTATGATCGCGTTAAATCGTATTCTTAAAAAAACCTACGTCAAAAGTTTGCATATCCATTTTCGCTGTGTTTTGTTTTCATTGGAATTACATTGTGACAAGTTTTATTGAAATCGGTTAACGGAAAGTGTGTGAAATTCTATAAAACGGGTTTATCACCTAATTTGCCACCCTTGGGTAAAATATTTTGCTTTTCAAATTTTATTGGGACTGCTACGGAGCTACCCCTTTCCACCAAAAAAAGAATCACCGAAATCGGATGACAAATGTCAAAGTAATCATGTAACATTCACACACAAAAAATACAGAGGAATTGAGAACCTCCTCCTGTTTTGAAGTCGGATAAAAGAGATTTGAATATGACATTTTTGTAACAAAACAGCTGTATCTTGTTCAAGTGATGTTGAAATTAAAAACAAAATACGATCAATTAAGAAGATAATATGCTGAAAATGGAATACGAAATTAATAAATAATCATTTGAAAATTATTATTTGTTTCCAGTTTATGATGAAGAAGGCAACCTGGTGAAAACTTATAAAAATCCGTATTACTACGATTTTACTCAAACCGCTGAGAAGCTGCCATTCTTCAGTTTTTTCCGCGTGAGTGTTTGTCTTAAAACTTAAAAATAAGTTTAATTAAATCTATATAAAAAAATAAGTTTAGTTTAATTAATTAGTTTTAAAATAAGTTTGTCGCAAAATTACAACGTTTCAAGAAAGAGTCCATTTGGGATATAAGAAGTTGGTATAAAGCAACTCAAGCTTATATAATCTGTATTGTAAAAAATCTTAGAAAAAAAGAAATTTCTATAAGAACACATTTCGACAGTTGAAAGTTAGAAAGGGCTAAGCGAAACTTAGGCTTAAAATGAGTTATTGAAATTTCGCAACCTTGGTTTATTTACACCACATCTGCAAAAAGACAATTTTTCTGGAAAGAGGTTTAAAGGTTTTACAAACGAAATTAGTTGGTAACATTTTATGCTCAATTTTACATAATAGATAATTTGTTCAAAAAAATCATTTTATGAAAGCGTGTGACTTTACTATACCAACGAGTGAAAAAAGTCAACGAGTACTAAATCGAGACAACTCTAATGTAAATAAAAGAAAGATATATAACAAAAAAAACACATAGGAGAATTTCGACGGCTCGGTAACTGGACCCGTAGCTCAGTTGGTAAGAGCAATGCAACGGTGCAGCATGGACGTGGGTTTGAGTCCTATCGGGTCGGCGAGATTTTTCTGTGTATTCGATCTTTGTATTCATAATCATAACAAACTAGTGAAGTTATTTCACAAAAAATCTCAATAAATAAAACAATTTATTTTTTATACGAATTATCGTTATTTTTTCACGTTATCACTTAGCCATCAAAGTGAGATGATAGTTATGATTTATTAACTCAGCTTTTTTCCCGTCAGCCTTCAACTTTCGGGGGCCCGACCGCTTACATGATCCCTGTCTCGGACCAAGTGATTCAACAAATCAACAATGACCCTATCTATCAAAACAAACTCCTGACAGTACCTCGAAAAGAACTCATTGTCGCACCAAACTTAGAATGTGGTGGCAAAAGAGCTCAAATACCTGCTAAGAGTTGTAAGAATTTTTTAAACTGTTGGGATGGATGGGCGTTTGAACAGGAGTGCCCTGAAGGATTGCTCTTTTCTAAGGAAGGGTACTGCGATTATCCCCTGAATGTGGATTGCAATAAAAGGACAAGTAAGTGTAATATAGTGTAGTATATAGTATATATAAGTGTAATATATAGTGTAAGTAAGTAAATATGATGAGATTAAAGTTTTGTAAAAATTGCCTTTTATCTCGCTGACTGTACCATTTTTTCAAAATCTGTGAGTGCCAATCAAAATATCTTCGAAATTCATGGACAGTCTTCTAGACCCGTTATCCTGTAACTACAACGACTAAGGTGACCTTGCTGCCCCGTCTCAAATTTACACCCTGTATACATATTTTTTTTAGTTGTAGCCTTTATTCATTTAGTAATAGTCAGAGCAGGCGGTTTTACCATGACTAAAAGAGAAGAATTCCAACTTAATTTATTTTTGAATAACCATTCGTAATGTTTAATGTAATAATTATAACGCAAACACTCATAAACCTGCACTAGGGAAACCCTGTATCGCAGGTGCCATGAACACACATAAATAACCACAAATTACACTGAAGCTCACGAGTAATGTAGGCGAATAAAAATTAATGTAGGCGATATAAATATTTTTCCGGTCCAGGAATTGAACCCGGGACCTCTGCGTGACAGATCAGAATGGTAACCGTTCGGCTACGAAGGCAATTAATGTGAATTAAATTACTTAACCATAAAGTTACACTTATGTTGTAAATCTAAGGAAGTTCCGCTATCGGTTTTTGTAGGTTTACTGTACTGAAATCATTCTTCGAACTAAACAAGCTCTACCAATCAATGTGGAAATGAAACGTGTGATCTTTAACGTGATGTCGTCAGATGTGAGTGAAAATGCCAACTCGGATGTTATGTAAAGCCTATCGGCGACTTGTTGCTCAACAATTTAAACTTGTTTGCTTAATAAAAAGTGCTGTAACTTGTGACGACATTGTCCTGTTTATTTTTATTGGCATGACATTAATTTACAGTTTTTCGCCGAATTTGCACACTTGAGGTTTATAGTATAATTCCTTATATTTGTTCTAGGGAAATATAAATAAAACATATTTTGTTATAATTATTTTAACAAAGATCGAAACACTAAGAAAAATGTATTCGATCGGCACCCTCAGGCAATCCTCGCTAGATGCTCTGCCATTTAAGCCTGCCGGAACGAACTTGTAGACCTTACGATTCTTTCTATGTGCTTTGTTGCAAATGTTTGTTTTTCAGTGTTTAACGACTTTTTTTCCGTAGCGCCTCTGTGAGAGATTTATTTCTTCACTCAGAGAGGTACCTTTACAGCTACCATTGCTGACTAAAGATGTCGCTTTACTAATTGTAATTTTTAACTTTATTGAATATCACGATGTGTTCGTGACATTCAATCGAGTATATAACCAGAAATAGAGACGAAATGTCATTTAATTTGTTTGAAAACTATTGTGCCAAATCGTTAATGTGACAACTGCGCTCCGATTGGTCAGTTCGAATTGGAAACAATTGATGGGTATCGTCAATTGTTTCACTTCAAATGGACCAGTTTAACTTGAGCTTTGCTATAATGGACAAAAGTTGTTACATATTTAATATTTGATTACCGATGAAATGTGATTCCGTTTGTTTTGTAATTAGATATTTTGCTGTCTTTCCCACACCACCGAATGGAACAGCCCTCATTGATAGAGATATTATCTTTATTACAATAAATACAGAATATTTTTGGAATATACGGAGACGTACACACAGGTTAGTTGTTGGCGCTGTACTATTTCAGTTTTCTAATTTATGATATCAGCGCAAACAAGAGTTCTGGTTACATACTCAACGTTTTACTATCATGATACTGAATTATTTTTTGAGAATTTGTAAGGTCTTAATTGGCAGAGTGTCTGGCACGGATTGCCTGAGGGTGCTGGTTAGCATCCAGCCGGATCGAATGAATTTTTCTTAGTGTTTCGATCTTTATTGTAATAATTGATAACAAACTAGTTGCGTAATAACAAAAAAAAATTGAACATCATTGTAGTAAAACATCGTGACATTCAATAATCTTTAAAAAAAGAACATATATTTTATTATACACGTTTTTAATTATTAAATTTTTCTTAGCCTTTTTGACTATCATAATCTCTATATTTAAAGGAGTAGGGTCCGGAGCAGTTCACTGGTGGCTGTGCGCACAGCTAAAACTGAAAGTCCTAGAAACATGAAAAATTGACGGAATTTAATTTTATTTAGTTTAGGCGTACTTAGATCGAATTTTTCGAAATTCAACCCCCACGAGTGTGAATTATATGAAAAATCGCATTCCTTGAACTTACAAATATGATACTTAGTATAAATATTCTTTAATGCAAGTGGTAAAGGATTGATATGACATTTATTCTAAAATACTCCTGACAGCGGTGAAATGGTGTGTTAAAATTTGTATGGGAACGTTTTAACGCGTGGTGCGATTTACTTCGAACTTGATTTGGATACTTTAAATATAAAATAAGTACACACGTATATCAGGATTCTTCAAAACAACCCCTAAATAGGTTCGTGCACAAAGTCGCGGGCAACGGTTAGTATTCATATTTCATTTTTGTAAAAATACTCCACTAGTTTTTATTGCTATTGATATAGGCAATGTTAAACGGCTACAGTTTTTATATTTTCAGCTATTTCTGCTTGTTCGCAAATCCCAAGCAAAAATACATTTTATTTAATTTTCTTCAATAAATGTTTAGTAAGGTTGTGTAAAACCGATGGTACAACATTAATTTAATAGCTTCGTCATGTCAAATTCTCATTTATTTAAATTTAAACGTTACCAGTTTATATTACCATTTTTTTTATTGTTCCGCTAAATAAGGGATCTTATCCCTAACCAATTTATTTGCAAAGTGTGCTTAAAAGTCAAAATCGAAGGTGTCTTTATTTTATGGGAAAGCAAATTACTCTTGAAACCATCAAATTAATTAAACTATATTATTATTTCGTAATGTAGATTCCATTCGGAAGAATGAGTAAGAAACTCTAGTGGTTGCTCTTTGTACATAGACATTCGTTCTATTCAAAAAAGACAACATTGCTTATTCAGATGAACTATGTTAAAGCCTTACTAGTCTAATGGTTTGACCTACCACCTCTCAAGCAGAGATCGTGAGTTCGAAACCGGGCTCGCACCTCTGAATTTTTCGTAATTTATCTGCAAAATTTAATTTGAAATTTACCATGAGTTTTTCGGTGAAATCTGTACGTCGAAGAAGGTTCACAAGCCTCGGAAAACGCGGGAAGTCCTCAACTAGTATTGGACCAGCGTAACTGACTATGACCTAAATCCTCGCCTGAGAGGAGACCCGTGCCCAGCAGTGGGACCTATAAATAGGTTAAAGATGATGATGATGTTATAGATGATTCACCGTCACCCCCTGCTCCATCTCAACCAACTACACCTAAGTGCAGCAAGGAGTTCGAGTCCTTCCGCAACGAGCAGCATTGCAACGAGTTCTTCGTGTGTGTTGACTCCACGCCTGTTAAGTTCAATTGTCCAGCTGACCTGCTTTACAACGAGGTAAATAATTATAATGTTATATGTACGCTTAACCCGTTCATGAACAGTACTATAGTAACGCACTCCAAAATATTACCACTTTTCTTTGATTCAATATAACAATTACGCTTTATCACTGACGGCAGATCCCGTCAGCATTCTTGTGTAAAATAATCTCAGTACAGAGTAGTAAAAAAACGACCTCAAAAGTTCGTGGAATTACATCTATTTGCCAAGTTTTATTGAAACCGGAAGCCCCAAAACCGGATACATCCCCTAGTTCGCCACTATACGTGACTTTATTCAATTATTTCCAACTTACAGCTATCATTACAGGTTGTACCTAATGCGATAGTGTCGACGACAAGGCTTACATAATTACCTTTAATTTAAACTTAACAACTACTTATAAATTATTATTATTATTATGGTAACACAAAACCCACAAAGCCGCTTTTACGAATTCGTTCAATGAACAACAGAATATATCCACGAAATTAGTGATAACATTTAGGTTAGGCAACATTCGGGTAAAGGGTGCTTCTTTTAACAAGTTCGTGCGCGCTCGCGGTAACGCAAACAGAAGGAGGCTGTCGCCGCCGCCACACGTCCTGGTCCAGTGCACACAGCCCCACCAACTGCAACACTGGTGGGTTGGATACCCAGACACGCAATAACATAAATACATACCTAGCCAAACTTAAGTCCCTTTTGACTTCCAATTTGTTGTAACCCACTATGCCTAGCACAAACAAAGTAGAATACATTAATAGGTAGAACGGGTACACACCATATAGTTTAAGATACAGAAAACGTGTAAACTTGTTCTGTATTCGCTCCAACATCAATTTATACTTTTTTTCGTATGGGCTCCATATAAATGAATTACATTCCAAGTGCCTTTTTGCTAGCGCTTCATACAAAGCTCTCATTGCACCTAAATTTGTGAATCCATGAGACTGGCGTTATAAAAAACCCAACCCTTAACACAGGAGATAATAAAAATCGGTGCTCACTGCTTAAAGTATAAAAAGTACGGTTATGATAGTAGTTTATTAGTAATAAAAACATGCGTTTTAGAGTCAAACTTTGGTTAAACCTTACTTTTGCTGTTAGAAAGTTCAACGGCACTTTTATTATCTATTTGTATCACCTCAATACGTCGGTGTTCACCGTACTGTTTTAATGTAACATGCACAACTGTGTGAGAGTAAATCAGGGAATTCAGTCAGTGCGTTGTTGATACTTGGATGGACTATGGAGTAGCAAAAGGTGGCAACCATACAGAAACCCCGTAATTGGTTTTTTGCGATCCGTATAGCGAAACGGGGACCCCGTACAATAATATTCTGATATTCAATTACGACAAATGCCGTTACTGCATATGAACGGCTTAATACATGCATACATAATACATATTGGATATTCTCTCTCCTCTCTCTCCTCAGCATTATTATTCCCATCTGATTGTTTGGTCTGCTTTTCTTGTACTTTCCCTCTACTTTGTACTATTGGACGTATCGTGTACAGAAACACAGGTCCTTAGATATTTGGCGATATGATCTGTCCACCTAATTTTCTAGACCCAGAATTCTTTAGATCTATCGCGGCATTCTGAGTGTAATCGGAAGATCTCCTTCTCATATAATATTATGCATAAATAGGTAACGTAAAATACAAAAAAAAACTGTTTGTAAATGCTCTATTGTATTGTATTTGTATTATTATTCTATTGATTTTATATTAACAATTGTGTCGAATAACTTCAATTGAATCCGGAATCCGTTTGCAGTCTGACGCAGTCGTAAGAATAGCTTACCTACTTTATTTAACTATATTAAAACATTGTTTATTTATTATTTAAACACTCTTCGAGTTCGCAAGCGATCATTGTGTTTCTGTTTGCAAATTCTTTTAAACAAATATCTTTACGACTCTATCAAATCACTACCTACCCACGTTACAGCCGTATTAGGAATATTTTGTTCACAGCCAGAACATAATGTTATTGCCACCTTGTAAAGGCGGGAGGTTCTCTCTATCGTCGGATGATGTTACGCAGCTCCAGCCAAGTCAAAACTCCAAGTTGTTGTTAGAAAAAGGGGTTTATATCCGTGAATCACAATTCCACCCTGTATGACGCCAATACAGTTCCACCCTATATACGGAAGGTTCGGGCAGTTGTTCGAGAAGGAACTAGGCTCCCGGAAACCGTTCCGCGAGTCCCTATGTTAGGGACATGGAAAAAGTATCGATACTTTTTGGTTTGATACCAAAAAGTATCGATACTTTTTCCGTGTCCCTTGTACTGTACTTGTACATGTACTTTTCCTTCCAATACCGATACTTGTGTACTCGATACTGTTCATTAGATACTTTTCAGGTATTAATACTTTTTAGCAAGTATCGTATCGTTTTGACTAATTCCTACTTAGGACATCTCATATCATAACGCAAGCCTCGTTGCAATTTTTTTTAAATGGTAACCTTCATCACAAATGACTTGGCTGTATAGTGTATGCCACCATTTGTCTCTGAATGAGAATATACAAAAGTAGTTAGAATCATTTGAATTAACACACCTATCTCACAAACATTATATTTGAAGAATCGCAATTAAGTTCCTTCTTCAAGACGTTCGTTCTCAAAAGCAGGCAAATACAATATCAAAAACCAGAAACAGACTGTTACCAAATAGATTTTTGTTTTTAAGTTATTATACAGAGGAGGAAATTTATGTAACACAAATCATGTGAAAGGACAAATAATTGAATTGATCAATTATTGATCGACTTAATCAAAGTCATTTATTCAAATAAAAATCATACACTTTTTTGAGTACACTTTTTTTTTTGAGGATACTTTTTATGCGATTTGATTCGATACTGTGTCCCTATCCGCGAGATGATGATTTTTACCCCATATGATGGGCACTAAAGTTTCACACTATATGAGCGTACATCAATATCAGAAGATACAAACAGCAGTTCCCAAGAAGGGTCTCAACTTCTGGTTAGCCTTACTGAGCTCTACGTATTCTCCAACTTCTCTCAACATAAACAAAATTATGTTACAGTAGTCATCATTCGAGGGAAAATTTACACCGCAATTCAGAAATAACGCCAAATGGATCAATGCCATCTAGCGGATTCTTAGTAAATTAAAAGTAAACATTCTGGCCTAAGGCCGTCTAATACATAAAGTGGGTTTGTTACAACATTTATTTCGTAATCAATGCGTTTGTTTAGTATAATTTCATTGCAGGAACTTGGAGTGTGTGATTATGCCTACCGAGTGAATTGTAAAGATTCTATGACGACTACGGCTGAGCCTGCTCAACCAGCTCCATCTAACCCAGAAACACCCTGCGCCTCACCTTCTACCGATGGGAAGAAGCCTGCAGCACCGCCATTAATAGCTACCGTAATTCCAGCCATACCACCAGTCACAGCGGATCCTCCTAACATACCATTGTCTGCCCCTATATCTTCAAATACCATTTATAATCAACAAAGTAAGTAGCAATACCTAAGCAACATAGTTTCCTCTTTTTATTTTAGTGTGTTTCGCTAGAACTACTTTTCATGGTTAATTAGTGTAAATATACTGTACAGTCAACAGCACTTCAAGCTTGACACTTTATACGTTCTTGTCGTAAGCGGCATAGAGTTGGATTAAAGTCTTAAGTGTCGAGCTTGACGTGCTTTTTTTTTGACTCTGTACATGTAGTACACACGCCAACACATCAAGCTACACATTGACGTATCTTGTCCCGTTGCACTGGAGGCGATTTTCGAACAAAAATGTGTAGTCTGGTGTGCCATTGTCTGAACATAAAATGTGATATTGTAAAATGTTTATGTTTACGTTCAAAACGTAAAAAAACGTCAAAATGTAGGCCATACAAATATTTCTCCAGGCCCGGGAATCGAACCCGGAACCTCTGCGTTACAGTCCAACACGGTAACCGTTGGGCCACGGAGGCAGTTAGTGTCGTATCATATGTCAAATCAATGATTACACCATTTGAAACGTTTTTGTTTCAGGGTTATCAATATAATTTTCTAATTGGTTGGCTTTGGATCTGTGGTTAGGACAACGAAAAGTTGAAATTTGCATACCATACATGCAGAAAACGTACAAATTCTCTGGTTTCTCTTTATTTAAAGACAAAAAGGGGACATTTTATATAAAATCCATGGAATATTTCAATCAAAATTCTAAAAATGTATAATAAAGAACCTCGAAACGTGTAGATTTGCGAAATCATGTAAATACCACTATGTAGCTATGTAAATACCATTGTGACAGGCACAAAAGCAAAACTTCAAAGGTATAGTTAGTAGTAGGTATATAGGTATAGATGTTGTACAAATGTATTTGTTAAAATGTTGTCATGAACATTACAGGTTCATTTCAGGTAGAAAATTTTTAAGAAAATTGTTACGATCGCAGATCTTGCGATCCTAAAAATTAAACATATTTATTAACAACCAAAAAACGAATAAATTTGATCCTTATTAAATTAGAAATTAAATTGAATTATAAAATAATTAAATACAATAAAAGAAGGCAAATAAAACATATTAAATAAACTATAAAATTAAAACTAAATTTAATTAAATAAATGAAAATTAATTAAATCTCCAAAAATAAACATTAAATTAAATTTAAAATACTCTTTTCTTACATACTTGCTGCTCATGCCTTTTTGAAAATTTGTTACATGTTATCTGACATATAACAGATAGGACACATTGTACTGTACTGGATGAAACTGTAAACATTCTTATAATTTAAACCACACAACTTTTGTTCTATTGTCTTTTTGTTCCTTAAGAGGTTTCGGGGATAAAAAGTCTCTGTATAGCATCTTAGATCGGATTAAGATACGGCTCAAGAAACTTTCACTTTACATCGTTTTAAAACTATACTTTCATCTGATCTAGAACTCCCATCACGAATGTTAGTCTACATAGAAAGTAGATTTGCTTTTTCATTGTTCTTTTAAGTGTTATGTAGTTTGTTTACTTTCTTTAATTTGTTTGCAGCAATATTAATGAGGCTTGCAATAGTTGCTATTAGAGCCCATCAGGCATTTCCCGTCTTGTTTTCAAGTAAGATATTTATTAATCAGTCTACTCATATTTAGAAGGATAATTCTGAACGATAATAAGGAAAGTTCTGGTAAGATTTGTCTGTCAATCTTATTTTTAACCGACTTAAAAAGAGGAGGTTCTCAATTCAATTTGTTGTTTTTTTGTTGGTACCTCAATCAATTCTTCGGAGAAAATATTCCACCTTTAGAGGTGGACCCTTAGGGGTGGCAAATCAGGGGTCAAGCCGGTGTATTGAATTTCACCCACTTTCCGTTAATTGATTTGAATAAAACTTGGCAAACAACAACAACAAAAAACAGATTCTTTTGATTTGATTGTTTTGATTCCTTTTTTATAAAAAAAGTTATAATTATTTTGGAAAGCCTAGCCCACCACGTTAGCTGTTGTGATGGTAATGTAATCCTTTCACCATTGTTCATAACGACTGTGTTTTGTTTTTTATTTCTCAGATTGGTCATCCACACACGTCGCCATTTCTCGTCAAGATGCCATCCGCCAGCTCCGATCTGGAACTATTGCTTAGTAGATAAAAATAAAGTAGACTCTACATTTGTTGTGTAGTGTCAATTATAAGATGTGATAGTGTCACATTAATCAACTAACGTCTGCATTTATATTTTTACATTTTAATATTTTTAGTTATAATTCAGGGACACCGTCAATATTTTTGGCACGTTAACTGATTCCCGATACCTTACAAATGTTCAGCTTTTCTTTGCATCATGTATTGTACAGTCAACAGCACATCAAGCTGTGTAGCATTTTTGTTCAAATATCGCCTCCAGTGCAACGGAACTCCGCCAATGTGTAGCATGAAGTACTACCGTCTGTACTTTAGGTATAGGTGAAAAGGCTATCAAGATATTTCATACACTATCTCGTGAAAATTTTCTTATTGTCACTATATGCAGTTATTTAATCTCCTAAGATCCAGCAAACTACAATCGCAAAGCGCTATACACCTAATGTACATTAATATGTACTAATTAAAGTTACATGCTTCAGACCCAAGCAAGGATGCCCTCAGCTTTATACGAAAAATGCATTTTTGTAGATACCATGTGATCATGTAAAATACTCTTATGCATTCAAATATTTTAGTTGTGAATTCCAGCTTTTTGATTGAAATTTGTATTAATGTAAAGTAATAAAAGATCGAATATGCTAAAATGTTTCTTAAAATGTCATTCAGTAATGATGCAAAAAGGAAGTCATACCAAAATTAATTTTACTGGTCACGGGTTAAAGGTTAAGTTTGTTAAAAACCTTTCTTCACACTGATCTACTCAGAACCAAACAGACGGTTCAGATATCTTAGGGCACTGGTACACTGGGCGTTTACGTGATCGTAGGTATCGGTCTGAGCCACTTCATATAATATTATGTACATTCTGATGTACACAGGGTCTTAGGTGGTCAAGTAGAATGAAGTATCGTGCAGTAGGTGAATAGACTATGGAAGAAAATAAAGAGTACAAAATTAAATGTAATTTTTATTCATTAATATTATACATTACCTTTCTGTTACATTTACTTATACAAAGTAAACCAACAGACGTGTTAAAAAGATGTATTTACATATTATAAAATACTATCCTATCTTAACTATGACTGAAACATCAATTTCGACACAACACCAGCGTACATACTTTGGTGCGATGCCAAAACAATTTGAAAGATATCCGCGTTTTTTTGGCAATAATTATCATTCGAGATGATAATAATTTTTGACAAAATAAATGAGTATAATTGAGTACGTCGTTCTTAACACTGAGACGCTTAATCGAACGAATGCAGTCCATAAAATTAAGAAGTTGAAGACACAATCGAGCGCCTCTTCAGACAGACATCACTTTATAAACCTATGACCGGCCTTGACACAAAATTGTACACCAAATTCTGACAAAACCAACCCGTCAGCAAATTCTGGATTAGTCACTATTCTACGTATTGCGCATACGTCTTTTGTTTCTGAGAAATAAAATGCCGTATGGCACTCATTTTACATCGTTTGATGTACGATTTACTTCTAATTTTATGTGATGTTATCCTTATGCAAAGTCTTAGCATGTTTCTCATCAAATATGAGATCAATCCAGCAAAGTTCTGAAGAGGCTTTTGATTAGATCAGGTCGAAAGGGTTAAATTTCAGCCTGTCCTTGGAGCCGCTCCTTGTCATTCAGAAACCGAGCTTCTTCAGCGCCTTCAAATCCACGTCGCCGTAGTAATCTTCGCTGTAAAATATTACACGATACACAGTGTTAATTAATTTTATTAAGTGAGAACTTGCCACCATTTAACGAGAAATTGAAAAAGTGTGACATAGAATTGGATTTACTTAATGATTATACCTCTAACTACAGGTTTCTTACCACTTTATGACTTCTCACGAGAACTCATACCGTGTTCTCGAAATATCGGGAAAATAAAAAGAAATCATATCGTGGTAAGAAACTTGTAAGTAATGATAACCATTTAGTGAAGAACCACTAAAGTCTTAAAATGTATATAGTATTTACTTAATAGGTTTTGTAGCCAAATTCTCCAAAACATTTTAATAAATAGAAAACATAATCAACACAAGTCATAGTGAACATACCTGAATACCCAAGGATTTCAGTCGGTGCCATAAAGAACCTTGTGTGTTATTATTAAGTGCTATTTTATACAGTTTTAATAGAAAGCAAGAAAGTTACTGAAACCAAAAAGATTATTTAGAAAGTAACCAGTACAACCAAAGACTGTGGTCGTGAAAGTGGACAGGTGTTAAAGAAAAAGGGTGCATAACTACACTACAAGAATTGTCAATTGAATACACAGCAGTTAATTTTTATATTTTTGTTTATTTTATCACTAAAAATAAAACTTAAGTATTACAGTTTCTATCGAACAACAACACTCAGTCGCAGCGAAATTATTCAGTACAAAATATATTATTTACAAGGTCATGGGGGCCAGAACCAATGATGGAAACTACATCCTCTATCAATTCCTTTGCACAGAACTACTTAGTGATAAATGCACACCTACATCTTAAACGTCCTACTTTTCATTAGGTACATAATGTAATATTATACAGTGGCAAAGATTTCCGGGTTCGACAATGCGTGAGGCTATCAAACTTATACAATACATAAAATAAATATTTCTATCGCGATATGTTCTTTTTAGTTTCCTAGCATGCCTCTTGAAACTGTTTTTAAGAAAAGTATTTGGCAACTAGAATTGAATACAAATCAATCGGCCTCACTAGCTACATTCCAAAATTCTATCAATCTGGAACAGACCTCGCACACCAAGAGCAATATTATTGAAAAAAACTATGGATCTGTATTCATTGCGTATGTGGTTGCTCGTGATGTGCGAAGAAAATCAGTTTTTATTAGAGATGTGAGTATTATAAAAGTTAAGGAATTAGGGTGGGTTGTTTAGTTCTCCTTTTGGGGACGGGGTTTCAGCTGCTTAGGCTGGTTGAGGCGGCTTTGGCTGTCGGCGGAATGGAGGCCGGCCAGCAGCTCGCTCTTCCTGATGGCCTTCAGGTCCAGGTCTCCGTAGTAGTCCTCGCTGAAAATGGACTCGAGCTTACTCGTACTGCCTGCCGCTTCCACCTCATCTCTTAATCTACATTTACATTGTGCGGACAACTTTTACTACATCACTAACTCAGTATTGTGTAACCGATTCTCGTTCAACTAGCAACATCGAGTAAACTACCTTGAAACGGTAACGAGAATTGTACCCGTTCGCTTTTCCAAGTAACATTATCTAACCGTTTGTTTTTCTCGATTACTGTTTCAAATATAAGTATATTTACTCTTACAGCTTGCAATTATGTGGTTTGGAGGTTGAAACTTTCGAAAAAAACATCTTGCTATGTTGTTACCGTTTCTAAGCGAGGCCCTACAATTATTAGATCTGTTAGATAAATATTTGTTATCATTTGTAAGTAGAAATTTGTGTATTTACAAAGGAATCAGCTATCTACGTCACCCGATGACCATTCTAATATTAAAATACTATTTTTCCTAAAGGGAACTAACGAAGTGAAGGGAATACACTGATCTAACAGAAGTGACCGCCCTTCATTCAGCGCGGAAACCGAAAAGCAGCTGACCGGATCCTTTCCTTCCTGCTTTTCAAGACATTGACAACTTACAGTTACGGGCGCACATGGTCAACTAGATACATGAAACAAACGGTCATTAACATGCACAGTTACCCACACCGGGCGACATTGAAAATGGTCGCAGTGTGACCGACTACAGAAGCGTTTTGCCTTAAGTCATGTTAATTTCTACGCTGGCCTAAAATATGTGCCGTAATAGGCGTGCAAGGCTCCGAACCACATAGCCGCCTGGTATTTAGGTGGGCGAACTCAACTGGGCCAACATTTTCTAACCCAGTCTTATCTATCAACGCCAAAGATACCGCTGTCGGTAAAGATATTTGTAGGAGAAAACCAATATGAAACGCAATGTTATTATTTTGAAGTAGTTGTTTAATAAGGCCGGGTCTAGAAAGTCTACGTTTCTAACAAGGCAACTTGTTTAACTACCTACCAAATACGTCAAATCAGCGCGTATAAGAAGCTAACGCCAATTACCTAATTATGTCTCTATAATAAAATATCCTTATTGATAAAGAATTCTGCAGTGCTTATTATACAGTTACAAATTTTAAACTTGTTAAACGTCAATGTACAAATAGTGCGGAAGAAATTGTTAGTCACAGGAATGACATTGGTATGGAGGTGGTTACAGGATCTTAATGTACATTAAGGTGTTAACACTGCACCACATATGACCACAGGTCTGTTGAGAAGAGATCTCAACATGCGTCCAAGTCTTAGTCAAGACTGTTTTACTTGAACGCGGAGAGATTAGATAGATAAAGAATTATCGGCTTACCATCCGGGAACATCTTCGGGGTCTTCGCAGTTGCCTGTGCCGTCAGCATCACCAATCTTGAATACGGTGCCAATGGGGCAACCGTATTCACGGGCTACGCCCTCGAGACAGATGTAGTATTTACGGCAGTCTTCGGGGTGGGCATGTCGGCTGAAGGAGCCGGCGTTTGACACCTCGCCGGGTGGGGGGCAGGAGAAACCGCCCGCTACTTCTGGGAAACACCGGAAAAGGTTACGTGAATAGGGGGTGTGGAAGGCGAAACCGAAACGTAGAACAGCGGCAGCGGTGGTGCTATTTAAGAAGAAAATCGCTAAAAGAAAGATGTGCTCAAAGAATTTCATGTGCTGTTAGAGAAGTGGCATGATTCTCATATGTAAAATGTTTTTCTTTCATCTTATTCTTTTAATCTTGAACATCACACTGACTATATTGTCGTTATATATAAAAATAAGAGTTTGAACAGCATTCAACCCCTATTATAATTTTCAATGACAGAAAATAGAACCTTACCCTCGTTCTTGCATTCAGGGACCTGGTCAGCCCACATGCAGACGCGGGCTTCCCTATCGTAAGCGAGTCCAGGGCTGCACTGGTAACGAGAGGCCTCGCCGTTCCAGCAGTTCCAGAACACGTCGCATTTGGCGCTATCAGGGAAAATACCGTACAGCCTCTCGCAGTGGGTAGTAGAGATTGGAGGTTCTGTGAAAGAATAACATTATATGTGAGTTAAAATGTTTAAAGAAAGAAAATTAATGCTATTTCTTAGAAAAATGTTATTTATTTAAAAATACCGAGTCCGAAGTGTCTCCGTCGACAGATAGGTATAAATAGTAAATGAACAGCGATTAAAACTGACAGATATATTAATCCACGACTAGACTAGACCTGACGCAGACACAAAAAGTAGTTCACGACTAATACCAAAAGAACCATCACGAAGTGGTTCTAGTTCAAGGTTTGAAAACAGAAAATATTCTAAGAAAACTGTAATAATTTATTTTCGTCTTTCAAAACTTTGCATAGATAATATTAAAAACATAAACTGTTATGCAACAAAATGAATATTTGATTAATTCACGACAAAATATCGATATAATATCGCTGCCTTTATGCAATAAAACATTATTTCAATATTGCGTTGAATTACAAGATGATAGAGAGCGCTTTATTCACGATAAAGTTTCGCATGTTCTCTTCGTCGCTGTATGCTTAGTTCAAATTTGTAGTATTCTGCAATACTGCGACAAAAACCAGTAAGTTGTCATCAGATCGCACCTACCTTGATGACCTTCAACGGCAACCTGGTGGACATTCGCAATCTACATAATTTTATTAAATTTATGCAAATTATTGACCTTGACCGTCACTTTATCGTTAGTCAATTTGCCGAGTCGTATTTGGGTACAAGTTATTTCTTAATAAATATGACATGTTATTTCAATATTTAGAAGCTATATAGTCACATGTGATATAAGTATAAAATATAAGTATTCTATTTATGCATGACACAATTATCGCCTAATTTCTTTCATCGAATCTTTAAATCTAACCTCTATCATTACACATATATGTGACATAATTACAAACAAAAAAAAACAAGAATAAACAAACAAGTTCTCTGTATAAATGTCCATAAAAGACCCAAAACTTTGCGCTTTGTTGGATAAAACCATTCTTGTTATCTCTACATGTTTTCAAAAATTTTATTCAAGTTGGTACAAAAAATCCTTACCGAGCTGTGTCCTCTCTCCGCACTCAACGTTGTGGAGATAATCGCAGTTCTCGGTGAGGTACTTTGAGTCGGAAGCGTCGAAGGCGAGACCGTTTCCGCAGGTCTTCAGCTCAGCTACTCCATTATCGCACTTCCAGTATTTGTCACAGGAAATGTGGTGAGGATAAAAGCCGAAGTCGTCCGGGCATTTGAACGTCTCCTGAGCGACCGCTGTAGAATAAAATGTCACAAATAAGTTTGTTACGCTACGTGCATTCGATTACAACAGATTATTTTCAATTGATTAGGTCACAGCGACAAAGCAAAATTTTTTTTTTTTTGTATATAATACCAAGTGACGGAACGAACTGTGAGAAAGTTGTGAAAAAGGTGTAATAAAAATGTGTATTGTAATAAAAATTTGCTGCAAATCTATACAATAATAATTACGATTGAAAGAGTTAATTTTATCAATTTATGTAAACTCGCATCTTGACCGCGCTTGAACCCGCAGGTTGCATAATTTATAGCATATACTTTACGCAAGAGCCAAATATTTGTAAAACTGCCAATATTGCGATACGAAGATGAAGAAAGCGACGCATCCAAACACGATCTTCTTGAATTTTAATTGAAATTACAAAATAAACCACCACAGGGTTTGCTAAGCAGTTATTATGGCACGCAATACATTTTGCAACGCACCGGTCGCGGGCAGGGCCGCTCTTTCTCTCTGGAATGCGACGCGACAAACCTCGTAGCTGTGTCGCAAGCGCACTGCGACATGCGACAACAACGCCTGCGCACAACCACTGTGCAGACATTTAGATCTCTGTCAATGTATTTGTTGTAGTGTGTTATGCACTGCTTCGCGCACGCGTGACTAAGTGTTGTACACGCTGAGAAATAGGCTAACTGTGATAGCAACTTTTTCTATGTAATTTAGATATTGTTCGCTAAATTACACTGAGCAAATGCAACAGTACGAAATCTAGTTGTTGCGGCATCAGTTTCTTGCACTAGATAGTAACTTGCATTAAAATTTTCTTTTAAACTAAAATAGTTTTACGTAACAGTTTTGGTCCTATCACTAACTCCAATACATTTTTCTGCAACTGGCGATGTATAACCAACTATTCTGCGATTGAAAAAATATACCACTACAGAGATTACCCAAAAACATGGCGGATGTTCAACAATTTCGAATTAGTCCACTATTCTTTTCTCTAGTCATTGTTCCTGAGTGTCTCGGTAAGTAGTACCATAAAGTGCCTCATGAAAAAGTTGCTCCAGGGAAGTACTGCGTTAGTATTGTGTAATCATTAGCGGGATCCAGTTTTGAAGGGTAAGGGTGCTGGTGAAATTACAGGCGCAATGGCAGTGCCCGTGAGATTTGTGAGATTTGTGGTTTAAAGCTGTGAGTGGCACTGTAACTGCAGGCGCACGAGTAATTCGTTCCATCACTTGGTGGCATAAAAAAGTAATTCTAAACAATACCAACCAATCTGTACCTATAATTGAAGGGCTTCTCTACTTTTTATTACTTCATAGCTCATTGATGTGCAAAACGTTTCGACTGCCTTCCCAGATTTCTTCTGTTATGTCACAATTGTGGACCGGTTAACATTTACAACTTACTGGGACCTAGCTCATCCACACAATTTTGCAATGGTAGTACTCTAGCGTATGTATCATAGCACCAGTTTGTTTTAATTCCATTGCCTACTTTACGTATCTAGCTGTCTTTATTCTCAAACAACATCGTTGAAAGAACAAAACATTGTGTTGGTGTCCGATATTTACAGTAACAATATCTCTGACACTATAGACTTTTATGTAATAGACAGTTATTTATTTGAAAAGCTGGCAGCACCTGGTTTCATAATAATACACCAATGAATAATCCACAAACAGTACACGGTGTAACGAATTAAGTGGCACACATACATTTTTGATGCGTCTAATGACCTGTGGGTCATTATTATGGAGGCGTTGAAGAAATGTTCAATAGGTAGAACATGGTTGCGATATGTGTGCATAGGAAAGTAGGTGTATAGACAATATGTGTCCATAGACACTAATTACTCCGTGTAATCGTCAACAACTGACTTTGTAGATTGTTAGTGTTGCAAAATGAGGACTATTGTGCACCCAGTGTCATTAGCATTTTAAATTCTGCCATAGTACGAAGTGATAAAGAGGAATAACAAATCTAGATACATTTGCTCAATGCAACTGCTTGGTAAACAATTCAGAGTTGGATACCTACTCATATGTCGTTTTTTTTTCTTTTAACACACACATAGTCCCGCATTAGCGAAACCTTGTATCGCGGGTGCCATGGACACACATAAGTAGACAACCACAAATTACACCCAAACTCACGAGAGAAATAAATGTAGGCCATACAAATATTTCTCCCGCACCGGGACCTCTGCGTGGCAATCCAGCTTGGTAACCATTCGGCCATGGAGGCAGTTAATGTCGTAATAAAAGTCCGACAGCAATTAAATATGTTACAGATTGAAATTATTATCGATTCGTAAATAAATTGCCATGTTTACATTAGCTCGGTATTTCAATTCCAAATATATTTTACTCGGCTATTTACAACCTCGTCAACCTTTCTTGTAAATGTAAACGACACTATCGAGGTAAACCACAATTGCTATGGATGCCTGGGATTCCTGGCCAGTGAGGCAAACCAGTGGCAGCAGTCGAAATTAGACCAACCTTTACGATAATTTGGTCTATTTCCCCATGTTTGCATATTTTACGCCAATTACACAGGTCTTATTCAACTTTGGCAACAAATTCTTTGATGTTTTTGCGATTATCTTTATAACTGATCAGTGACCAAATAGACGTGGAAAGAAATTGTTTGTAAACAGAGTGTGAAAATGTGATTTTTGAGTATTACATCTACTTTATAGCTGTTTAATTGATAACAATATAGTGGGCTAAATTTGTAAACTTCGAAACCTCCGTTAATGCGAACTTTTGAGGCACAAAAAACAAAATTTCTAGAAATAATTATGTACAATAATTGCCCGATATAGCGCTTGAAAACTAAAAAAAAGAATTTCGTTGAAAATGAAGTTACGAGGTTTCAAATTTTGCCGACGACATACAGTATAGGGTCGACATGAGATCGATTGTGCATACTGTCGTGAAAAGGAGATTAGTGAACAAAAGCTCTGCGCCAAGTTCGGTTTCGTCACCGTAACACGTTCTATTAAGACATTTTCAAGTGTATCTACCGATGTGATTGACACGCCTAGTATGATATAGGAAACCGGGACACGCGCGGCGGCCTGTGACGTTGCGCAAGCGGGGGTGTCACCAGAGCCCTGCGGCTGCGCGCGCGCACGCTCACATAATTATCGATTTGTCACTTACGCAGTTACTACCTTGTTATGAGAACTTACGCAACAACTTACGCATTTGTCGTAATTATCCAGTTTTGGGTTACTAGTGTATGTTTTTGTACGAGTTACTGCCATTATTATTAATTGCGAAATTTATATGGGTCAAGCTTGATGTTAACACACTTTCATGGTAGAATCTCGAGTGACATTTTGTTTCATCATATTATTTTATCTTTTTTTTATAACACTAAGTGCCGAAACGAACAAAGCGTGCGCCAGGTGGTAAGCGACACGCCTGTCCATAACAGTTGCAGTGCCACTCAGAGCTTTAAATCACAAAGAAATGAGGGCCATTGCCACTACGCCCGACACCCTGAAACATAACGACTCATCCGTAGAACAAAAATGTATGTGCAAGATTCCTTGTTCTGAGAACATAGTACATTTCGTTCGTTCTTCTTCGCTGTGGATGTCAGATCGACGGTTGTTTGATTTTATATTTCCAAAACGAATAAGGTATATAAATTCTCAAAACACCTTTGCATGGGCCTTAGTTTGAATATCGATATTATTCTCCTAATGTACCTATTCTCTTTTCGCTATATAATCACAACGGACTCTGTTCTTCGGACGAGTCGGTAAGTTCAGAAGTCCCATGTGCATTTCACCAGCACCTTACCCTTCGAAACCGGGACGCAGTAATGCTCACACCTGGACTAACTCTTTCACAAGGACCTCTAGTGCTACTTAATCTTATTTATTATTATCATTGGATAACATGGATCTCGACAACCTTAAACTATTAGAAATATTTCGATGTGTTAATTATGACAATTAATCGATGTTGATGAAGCAAGAAATAGGTATAATGGATGACCCATTCGCTATAATAAGTTATCTCACCGAAATTTGTTCAAGTTATTTGTGCAGTCATGTTAACAAAAGAGCAAACATTTGCTACATTCTCATAAGCACTATCCAATATTAAAGGTCGCGTTAAGTAATACAGGTGAAAGCCCCCAAGCTGACCTACCCAAGATGTCGAATGTAGGCGAACTTTCGATTTCGTTATCGATGCTGATGCGATGCGCAGACCCGGTGTCGTAATCTCCGACCTTTACGCGAAACTAAAACACATCTGTCTAATAAAATATTATTTGCCTACGCAGCTAATCTAATCTGGTTGATCAATTCTTATTATAATGATATATGAGGCTTCAAAGGCAATGAATGTGCACGAATTTATTAAAAGAAAAAGTGTTTAGTTGCCATTTAACTATGTGGCATCTTTTTTGGGGGAAATTTGTGTTATGTTTATTCTAGAACGGTAGTAGCTTGGTGGGAAAATGGCTGCTTCTCAGTTAAGGGATCGACGATTTGAATCCTTACGTACATAACGTATGATTTTTTTCCTCTCGCTAACGATCAAGATAAACATCGTGATGGAATCTATTTATGGAAAAAGGTCCATAACATCATCAGAGAACATTAAATTTATCGATATTTTATGCTATTACCATTGACATAAGGTATAAATTTCAATATTTTGAAAGGCAGAAAGAAATGCCTCACTTCGCTCCAAGGTCGGAATCAGAAATTTGCAATTTATACCTTATTTTAATTGAAATAGCATAAAATATACATTCATAAATTTAATTTTTGTTATTTATCGTGACATACTATCGCCTAAACTCTAATGGAATTCTAAAATTTCAATAAAAGTTATTTTCAAAAAAGGAATATATCACAATTATTAAGAAAAACAAAAGGAGGACTGTTAGTGATAAACAAATAGATGAATAAATTAATATTTTTAACGCATCAGTCAATCGTCTCGCAAAAAAGACGAATAAAAAGAATCAC